AATATATGGATGTCTAAGTTTGAGCTTGTGGCCTTATAAATCAGTTTGCGGGTGTTCTTTTGTAGGTGGCCGTGACTTCAATAATCGAAGACGAATTCGATGGAACTCCCCAAAGTGCCTTCGCATGGGCCAATGAAGTAGATGACCCAAAGGTGGATCACATGGAGATGCTATCTTCACCTTGCAGTCTTGTTTGTTCTTGAACACATGCCCCAAATACAGCTCATCTCCTTTATATGCCACATCCAATATGACATTCTCTGTTTGATCCAATCCTGAGTAAACCCGTCCATCAAATACATTAGATGTTTTAACGTTTTTTACGGATACGCGATCCGCTGAGTTAATATAACAATCTATGGAACAACATAACTTTCGGAGATGAATATAACACTCCATTAATGTTAATAGACATCTACAATACACTTTTATCATTACAAATCTCCATTATTTTCAAATAACCCGTTACAAGTTTATATCCGGCCCGCACTAAGTTTATATCGATCCAGCAACACAAATTGCCATTCTTTTCTGATTTTCTTTTTAGACATGTAGTTCGAACCTAGACAAGTTTGGGTTGATGGATTTTCAAATTCCCTGCAAAACTATATTTTCCTCTGTGCTCATTCAGATTCAATAGCTAAAATTTTCCCCTGAGAAATAGGCATCCATCTACATTTATGAATGTTTATGAATCCGGTCGGCATTTAAGATTTACAAATAAAGTCCATATTTGCACATGGCTTGCATTGTCGATAAATGGACCTTCATATTCTTTTATCCGGCTCTACAATTTAAAATGATCTCACCATGTCTTTATTTTTGGTAACAGAAATCAGCACTCTCACAGCACCACATGTCTGTTTATAAACCCTTATCACTAATTGTAATATATGTATCGTAGACTGACATCGGTTTGTAATCAGCATTCGCAGGATGGAACCAAACGATCTCCCCCTTCGCATCTTCGCTGATCAGCAGGAGCCGGTGGGAGAGAGAGTGAACTCCTACTTCAAGCTTGAAACCATTGGTGTTATCCTCAAAGCACTCAATCCGGACGAATTAAACGTGATCCGCCCATGGTTCGGAAAATTGTTAGACCTCTATCACAAAACCGCTCACTCTGGAAAACTTGCCCACTTTCTCCTAACGAGGCAGCTGAAGACCGACAAAAGACACGAACTCTGGTTCGTATTTGGGATCTCGACTCTGCCGGACAGGTAACTTCATTATAAACCCGGGTAGCCTTGTATCTTATGTTATATATCTCCAACAATATAATCAGATACCCGAATATATGGATGTCTAAGTTTGAGCTTGTGGCCTTATAAATCAGTTTGCGGGTGTTCTTTTGTAGGTGGCCATGACTTCAATAATCGAAGACGAATTTGATGGAACTCCCCAAAGTGCCTTCGCATGGGCCAATGAAGTAGATGACCCAAAGGTGGATCACATGGAGATGCTATCTTCACCTTGCAGTCTTGTTTGTTCTTGAACACATGCCCCAAATACAGCTCATCTCCTTTATATGCCACATCCAATATGACATTCTCTGTTTGATCCAATCCTGAGTAAACCCGTCCATCAAATACATTAGATGTTTTAACGTTTTTTACGGATACGCGATCCGCTGAGTTAATATAACAATCTATGGAACAACATAACTTTCGGAGATGAATATAACACTCCATTAATGTTAATAGACATCTACAATACACTTTTATCATTACAAATCTCCATTATTTTCAAATAACCCGTTACAAGTTTATATCCGGCCCGCACTAAGTTTATATCCATCCAGCAACACAAATTGCCATTCTTTTCTGATTTTCTTTTTAGACATGTAGTTCGAACCTAGACAAGTTTGGGTTGATGGATTTTCAAATTCCCTGCAAAACTATATTTTCCTCTGTGCTCATTCAGATTCAATAGCTAAAATTTTCCCCTGAGAAATAGACATCCATCTACATTTATGAATGTTTATGAATCCGGTCGGCATTTAAGATTTACAAATAAAGTCCATATTTGCACATGGCTTGCATTGTCGATAAATGGACCTTCATATTCTTTTATCCGGCTCTACAATTTAAAATGATCTCACCATGTCTTTATTTTTGGTAACAGAAATCAGCACTCTCACAGCACCACATGTCTGTTTATAAACCCTTATCACTAATTGTAATATATGTATCATAGACTGACATCGGTTTGTAATCAGCATTCGCAGGATGGAACCAAACGATCTCCCCCTTCGCATCTTCGCTGATCAGCAGGAGCCGGTGGGAGAGAGAGTGAACTCCTACTTCAAGCTTGAAACCATTGGTGTTATCCTCAAAGCACTCAATCCGGACGAATTAAACGTGATCCGCCCATGGTTCGGAAAATTGTTAGACCTCTATCACAAAACCGCTCACTCTGGAAAACTTGCCCACTTTCTCCTAACGAGGCAGCTGAAGACCGACAAAAGACACGAACTCTGGTTCGTATTTGGGATCTCGACTCTGTCGGACAGGTAACTTCATTATAAACCCGGGTAGCCTTGTATCTTATGTTATATATCTCCAACAATATAATCAGATACCCGAATATATGGATGTCTAAGTTTGAGCTTGTGGCCTTATAAATCAGTTTGCGGGTGTTCTTTTGTAGGTGGCCGTGACTTCAATAATCGAAGACGAATTCGATGGAACTCCCCAAAGTGCCTTCGCATGGGCCAATGAAGTAGATGACCCAAAGGTGGATCACATGGAGATGCTATCTTCACCTTGCAGTCTTGTTTGTTCTTGAACACATGCCCCAAATACAGCTCATCTCCTTTATATGCCACATCCAATATGACATTCTCTGTTTGATCCAATCCTGAGTAAACCCGTCCATCAAATACATTAGATGTTTTAACGTTTTTTACGGATACGCGATCCGCTGAGTTAATATAACAATCTATGGAACAACATAACTTTCGGAGATGAATATAACACTCCATTAATGTTAATAGACATCTACAATACACTTTTATCATTACAAATCTCCATCATTTTCAAATAACCCGTTACAAGTTTATATCCGGCCCGCACTAAGTTTATATCCATCCAGCAACACAAATTGCCATTCTTTTCTGATTTTCTTTTTAGACATGTAGTTCGAACCTAGACAAGTTTGGGTTGATGGATTTTCAAATTCCCTGCAAAACTATATTTTCCTCTGTGCTCATTCAGATTCAATAGCTAAAATTTCCCCCTGAGAAATAGGCATCCATCTACATTTATGAATGTTTATGAATCCGGTCGGCATTTAAGATTTACAAATAAAGTCCATATTTGCACATGGCTTGCATTGTCGATAAATGGACCTTCATATTCTTTTATCCGGCTCTACAATTTAAAATGATCTCACCATGTCTTTATTTTTGGTAACAGAAATCAGCACTCTCACAGCACCACATGTCTGTTTATAAACCCTTATCACTAATTGTAATATATGTATCGTAGACTGACATCGGTTTGTAATCAGCATTCGCAGGATGGAACCAAACGATCTCCCCCTTCGCATCTTCGCTGATCAGCAGGAGCCGGTGGGAGAGAGAGTGAACTCCTACTTCAAGCTTGAAACCATTGGTGTTATCCTCAAAGCACTCAATCCGGACGAATTAAACGTGATCCGCCCATGGTTCGGAAAATTGTTAGACCTCTATCACAAAACCGCTCACTCTGGAAAACTTGCCCACTTTCTCCTAACGAGGCAGCTGAAGACCGACAAAAGACACGAACTCTGGTTCGTATTTGGGATCTCGACTCTGCCGGACAGGTAACTTCATTATAAACCCGGGTAGCCTTGTATCTTATGTTATATATCTCCAACAATATAATCAGATACCCGAATATATGGATGTCTAAGTTTGAGCTTGTGGCCTTATAAATCAGTTTGCGGGTGTTCTTTTGTAGGTGGCCGTGACTTCAATAATCGAAGACGAATTCGATGGAACTCCCCAAAGTGCCTTCGCATGGGCCAATGAAGTAGATGACCCAAAGGTGGATCACATGGAGATGCTATCTTCACCTTGCAGTCTTGTTTGTTCTTGAACACATGCCCCAAATACAGCTCATCTCCTTTATATGCCACATCCAATATGACATTCTCTGTTTGATCTAATCCTGAGTAAACCCGTCCATCAAATACATTAGATGTTTTAACGTTTTTTACGGATACGCGATCCGCTGAGTTAATATAACAATCTATGGAACAACATAACTTTCGGAGATGAATATAACACTCCATTAATGTTAATAGACATCTACAATACACTTTTATCATTACAAATCTCCATCATTTTCAAATAACCCGTTACAAGTTTATATCCGGCCCGCACTAAGTTTATATCCATCCAGCAACACAAATTGCCACCCCCCCCCCCTACGAGAATGTTGTTATTAATAACAGAAGCACTTCAATATTAGACATAGATATTCATAAACGAAATGCATGGACCAGAATATATGTATATCTGCTCTAACCGGTTGTAGCGCTACATGAAATTAGAAGGAGGAAACTACTATTTATGGACACTCTGCATACCTATGTGTACCCAAATATTTACATTTTCCCGCCCACCCACTCAAAAAATCTTGTTCTAGCATGACTAATTCACAATAACTATCTATCCCTTCGGAATATCTCATGCATACGTCAGGCGGCTTGAAGATTATCTTGTCTCCCCATTTAATGCCATCCGACGGCTATCTGATCTCGCCAATATCTCGCCCAAATTAACTCAACTGTTCTAGACATATTCAGGTTAATAGTCAGAACCACGCGCCGTCCATAGCACTCCGCGTAATTAGATGAACTTGTTTTTTTTTTTGGCATCCTTTAGCCATTTCCTTCTAGCGTATGAATGATTTGTTGTTTTGCTAATTATGTACTCAAATTTAGCCATCCACCTCTTTCTCCCTAACTTATATAAGCCCACCACATATGTAAATGTGTCTATTTGCTCCAATTAATAAACTTTGGGCCTAATTTGTAAAAATTCAATTAGTTTGGGCTCTCTCAGACATATTGGTAGATCACCGGCGTTATCTCTCTAATCGGCGACTCGGCGGAACCGTGGCCAGAGCTTCACACTCCCTCGCCTGCTCTCTCTCTCTCTCTCACACACACATCAATGGTGTCTTCTACTTCTCTCCTTCCTTCGACCACTTTGCTCACCAACTGGTAAATGATTCTTTCTCTCTCAGCTAAAATTGGGTCTTCGAAAGAATTTGGCTTTCTGTGTATTGCTGAATTTCGATTTTGGGTTTCAGGGCGAATCAGTTAACTTCTCAGTCGCGTACTTCCTCGAGAGATTCGACATGGCAGTGTGTTTGTTTCCGTAGTCAGAAACGCAAACCTAAGCTCTACTTGATTCCCGCCCGCCATTTTTCATCAACTCCACTTGATTCAGCTTCCTCCTCAGAAACTGCTTCGACGAAGCTGAAGACTCGTGCTACTTCCGGCGTCTCTGAAGTTCAAAGGTGAGAAATTGATTTATTCTGATTGCTGTTTCTGAATTTAACTCAGGGAAACAAGAATTGGATGAGTTATGTGTTTGTTTATGCAGGTCTACTCATAGCAACAATGTTAATGCGATGAAAGAATTTGAGATGGAGTTGCAAGAGTTGTTCAACGAAGTCAAAGCTATGGTAAAGACTGGGAAGGAAAGAGACGCAATGGACCTTCTTCGAGCTAATTATGTTGCTGTGAGAGAAGAGATTGATTCGGGTTTGAAAGGTGTCGAGCAAGCTGCCGTGCTCGACATCATTGCCTTAGGTTATATGGCTGTTGGTGACTTGAAACCTGTCCCTGCATTGCTTGATATGGTGAGTCTTAACTCGATTTTGTTGTTTCAAGTTTCAACGGATTGTCTTGTAGCTGTAATTTTTTTGTCTAAAGCATGAGTTAACAAATGCAGATAAACAAGATTGTCGATAAGTTAAAGGACTCTGAACCTCTTTTGGATTCAGTACTTATGCATGTTGGAAGTATGTATTCGGCGTTAGGGATGTTCGAAAACGCTGTACTCGCGCATCAAAGGGCTGTTAGTATATTAGAGAACAGATACGGTAATATTTTTCCTTCTAATCCTGTGTTTGGTATATGAGTGTGTTCGTCTTGTCTTCATTTGGTCCTTGACAAAGCATTTCTTCTGTGGTAGGTGAATGCAATACTCTACTTGTCACACCATTACTTGGGTTGGCTAAGAGTTTTGGTTCATATGGAAAAGCCACTAAAGCTACTGGCGTTTACGAGCGTGCAGTGGCTATCTTGGAACGTAATAGAGGCTCTGAGAGTGAGGATCTAGTGGTGCCTTTATTCTCACTCGGTAAGCTTTTGCTGAAAGAAGGTAAAGCTGATGAGGCAGAGATTCCTTTTACCAGGTACAGCGTTTGGTCAAAGTTTTTGCACTTCTTATTCGCAAATTTTGTGATCCATTTGCTTAACCATCTTTCCATCTTCTAGGATTTTAAATATATACAAGAAGACGTACGGAGAGAAAGATGGAAGAGTTGGTATGGCCATGTGTTCCCTTGCTAATGCAAAATGCACAAAAGGTGGGTTATTTATGTAAATTCCTTCGTTCTCGCTTGATTTGATGATCAAAAGATTTTGTTGAAGAAGATGGTTTTGTATCTCGGGTTTTCTCAACAGGAGATGCAGATGAAGCGGTAGATCTCTACAAGAACGCTCTACAAATCATCAAAGATTCAAACTATATGGCCATAGACAACGCTATCTTAGAAAACATGAGGATAGATCTTGCTGAGCTGCTTCATTTTGTTGGAAGGTAAAGTTTTTTGTTTTCCCTCTGATCTTCTTCCTGTGATTGAGGAACTCAGTTTGGCTTTGGGCTCTGTGAACAGGGGAAACGAAGGACGAGAGCTACTAGAAGAGTGCATATTAATAAACGAGAGATACAGAGGGAAGAACCATCCAAGCATGGCTACACATCTTATAAACCTCGCAGCGTCTTATTCACGCTCCAAGAATTACGTGGAGGCAGAGCGATTGCTGAGAACTTGTTTGGAGATCATGGAGAAATCGGTTGGTTCAGAGGATCAGTCCATAACTTTCCCAATGCTGAATCTTGCAGTCACTCTTTCTCAGCTGAACCGTGATGAAGAAGCCGAGGAAACAGCCTTAAAGGTTCTACGAATCCGTGAGAGCGCATTTGGGAAAGACTCTCTCCCTGTTGGTATACACAGATCTTTCTTCTCTCCATAACATCATCATCATCATTGTTAATGAAAACTCTCTTTCGTAAAACTAATAATAATACCTTATGCAGGTGAGGCACTTGACTGTTTGGTGTCGATCCAGGCGAGATTAGGAAGAGACGATGGAGAAGTACTGGGTTTGCTGAAAAGGGTGTTGATGATCCAAGAGAAAGAGTTTGGTTCTTCAGCTGAAGAACTCATTATTACTCTCCAGAAGATTATGCATTTCTTGGAGAAACTGGAGATGAAAGATGAGAAATTCAAGTTTAGGAGAAGGCTAGCTTTGCTTAGAGAGAGATACAAGGAGAGTACTCTTTAGCTTCAAAGAGCGTATTTTTCTTAATCTCTGTATGTAGCTAAGATTGAAATGATTTATATCATCTTTTTGAAATTTTGTATAACTTAACGTTAGGTTGAAAAGACCCTTATGCCCACAAAATCCAAAAAGGCCAGGTGTGAGGGATTAAATTATAAATTAATGAATAATTAAATCTTAATCCCAATCTTAATTCACGCAAATACTGTGTTTGTCTTTCTCTCTAGCTGCGTCTTGTGGCAGATCTCTCGTCTCGGGGAAGAAGAAGAAGATGAGCAGTGAAACGGTGTCGTCGAGGACGAAGAAGATGAAGAAGGAAGCTTTGGGGTGGATAGAATGGATCAGAGGATGGGCTCTCATTATCTACGAGTTTCTCTTCCAGAGATTCATGTCTTCTCATTTGCAGAATCCACTTCCTCTTCCTCCTCTCAATCACTTAACCTGCATTGTCACTGGCTCCACCAGCGGCATCGGTAGCGAAACCGCTAGGTCAATTTAGAACCCAGTTTTGCGTTGGTTTTGATGAATCGAGGAATTGATAAGAGTAGTTGTTTTGGTTATTTGTGTTACTGAAGGGAATGTGAAAATCTTACGAAATCGCAGGCAACTTGCAGAAGCTGGTGCTCGTGTTGTAATGGCGGTGAGGAACACAAAGGCAGCTCATGAGCTGATTCAACAATGGCAGAAAGATTGGTGTGGCAAAGGCCTCCCGCTTAATATCGAGGTAAAAATATCTTATGATCGCATATTTAGTATGACGTCTATATTTAGCATGTGTTGCTTGGACTTAATGTAGTCAATGGTGTGTAATTAGCAAGGTTTTGTCTCGTCATTAGGGAAATAAATGCGCATAGTGAATGTTGTTGACATAACATCCAAATGGCTGATGATGATACATAATTACATACTATGTTTCTTTGACTGAAGGCGATGGAACTTGATCTTCTCTCACTGGATTCAGTTGTCAGATTTAGCAATGCTTGGAACGCTAAGTCAGTTCCTTTGCATGTTCTGATTAACAATGCCGGCATATTTGCCATGAGAGGTTGGTTTTGATTGCATTTTTAGCTGTAAAGCTTTGAGCTTTCAATAACTGTCGTTATTATGGTATTGAGGTCTCTCAAAGCCATACTTTTTCACCTTGTTCATGCTCATTTCACTCTCTCAAGTATTTGTTTCCTAAAATGATTTGAAGACTGTTACAATTTTCTGCGTACATGTTGAGGAAAACCAGCTAAGTTGCTTGCCACTTTAATTTATGCAGAGGAACAGAAGTTCTCAAAGGACGGATATGAACAGCACATGCAAGTCAACCATTTAGCTCCTGCGTTGCTTTCGCTACTCCTTTTGCCCTCGCTTAACCGAGGCTCCCCAAGCCGAATCATTAATGTGAACTCTGCTGTAAGTAAAGTAACATCATCACATAAAGGAATCATTGATCCAGATTTGTATTCTCTCTAGGATCAGTAATGATGTTGAAAATTTTGGATTTTCTCGGTGCGCAGAAACCTAAACAAAACCGATAGTTATAACCCCTGTTACTTCATTTGCTTGTCTCTGTGAAATACTACTGCACATCTGCTTGTATTGAATCTAAATACGAATGACCAACGTTCAATATATCATGCAAGATCATTGTTTGTTGGGTTTACTTTTTTTTGTGGTAGATGCACTACGTGGGTTTTGTTGACCCGGAGGACATGAATGTGGTATCTGGTAGACGAAAGTATACAAGCCTTGTAGGATATTCAGGGAGCAAGCTTGCACAGGTGAAACTTAACACAAAAACAGCATTTCAATATATTCTTATTCATCGGTTCTTGGTCTCAGAAACTAATGGATTCACTTTTCTATTTCCTCTGGCCAGGTTATGTTTAACAATGTTCTTTACAAAAGACTGCCTCTTGAAACTCGCATTAGCGTTGTTTGTGTATCCCCCGGGATGGTTCTAACAAATGTTGTGAGTATTATCACTTCAAGTCTCACTTCATTTGCTCTTTCCTCGGAACTTGTATCGCATTAACATTTTTGACGTTTGAATATGCAGGCGAGGGACCTACCGAGGTCTGTTCAAGTACAGTACGCGATGATACCTTATTTCCTCTTTTCGCCTCAAGAAGGTTGTAGAAGCTCACTTTTCTCAGCGACAGACGCTCAGATTCCAGAGCATTGTGAAAAGCTAAAAGCCGGTGATAACCCCATTTGTACATACATATCTCATGATTGCAAACCCACAAAGCCTTCAGAAGAAGCTCACAACGTGGAAACAGCGAACAGAGTTTGGGAAAAGACGATAGAGATGATAGGTCTTCCTCTTGATGCATTGGAGAGACTTCTAGAAGGAGAAGAGGTGCAATGTCGTTATGGGACTCATCACGAATAAGTTAATGAAGGACAAAACGGCATTTTTTTGTGTAGCAAGAAGCTTTGTTGTTGTTGAAAAGTCGTCTTGTTCCCTTATTCTTGTTGTGGTATTTGATGTTTTTGTATGATAAATAAATTTTATTTTTGATTTTTAAAAAACTTTTTTTTTGTTTTGAATCTTGATAGTAAATCTTAGAAATTACACGACGTGCATAACTGCAGATACAATCTATCTTATTGATCACATAACTCACAGTATATTATATACTATCATTAAATACACATGCATGGTTGCATAACAACAAAGTAACTTGGAGAACAATAATACAGAAATGCAGTTCCTTATTTTCTAAAACAAAAACAGATAAACAAATATAACGTGACCATAGACAATGGAATAAACAAGATCGCATTCAAGTCGATGTATGTTCTACGTTTATAAATAAATATATTAAGTTAACTGTTATCATTAACAATAACTTTAACTGAAACTAAAAGATTTCAAAAAGACATAATTTACGAATAAAGAGGCGGGTTCTCTTGCATTTTTCAGTAATTTAACTAACTAATTAATGGCCAACTACTAATGACCAACTAATTCTCATAGTAACGGCAAGGACGGGTTACGTGTATATACCACCAATTAAGCTCGAGGTGTCACAGGCTTTAACTAATGAAAATGGCTTATCACGTTCCTAGATTTCGACGCAATAAATCATTATATAATCATCCTTTTGTCTTTCTCTATATGCGTTGTGTTAAACTCCGTAGAGCAAAAAGAAGAAGATGAGTTGTGAAATGGTGTCGTTGAAGAAGAAGAAGAAGAAGAACAAGGATGGTTTAGGGTGGATAGTGTGGTTAAGAGGATGTGCCAATGTTTTGCAAGAGGTTTTCTTGCAGAGAAGAATGGCTTCTCACTTACACAATCCATTTCCTCTTCCTCCTCTGAACCACTTAACATGCATTGTCACTGGCTCCACTAGTGGCATTGGCTCAGAGACAGCTAGGTCCCAATATCAAAACATAACTTTCCTTTAGCCTTTGATGTTGTTTTTTTGTTGTTGTTGTGTTCCTTACAGCCATAATTTTCCTTTAGCCTTTAGCAAATAAGAAGTGATATATTGCTTATTGTGTGAATTTGCAGGCAGCTTGCGGAGGCTGGTGCTCATGTTGTTATGGCTGTAAGGAACACAAAAGCGGCTCATGAGCTGATTCTTCAATGGCAGACCAAGTGGTCTGCTAGTGGTAAAGCACGACTCCCACTTAATATTCAGGTAAAATGTGGTTAAATCCTATATATATATCAACTTTATAGTACAGTATGATCATAGCCGTTTTAGATTATTTTTCTTTATAAATACACTCTCCGATTCAGTGTTTAAGATGCGATCCCTCTTGGATTATTAATAATATAAAATAAACTTTATTGTATTTTTTTTCTTTTTTTCAAGGTGATGGAACTTGATCTTCTCTCTTTAGATTCCGTCGTAAGGTTTGGCAATGCGTGGAACGCACGGTTAGCCCCTTTGCATGTTCTGATTAACAACGCCGGCATGTTTTCTATGGGAGGTTTGTTTGTTTCTTTTTTTTTTTTGTATATTAGTTTACATTTTTACAAGCTTCTTCTTTCATGTTGCTAATTTTTTTCTAGCTGTTACAAGTATTGTTACAAGCTTCTTCTTTCATGTTGCTATTGTTATTATTGAGGTCCAAATCATATGCTTTTACATCATTCATGTGGGCTTTTAAATCATATGCTTTTACATCATTCATGTGTACATACCCCCAACTAAATTTATGAACCCATGTGGGCTATACGGTAGACCTAAGCTGTTTTAATCTAATGGGTTAGTGGTTTAGGATTGATAATTATGAATCTTTGAAATAAACGAATGTGTTAAACCATAATAACATTTAACACAGATGAGTTAATAACATTAGACTTAGATGTCGGCACATCGTGGTGCTCAGATTAGTATAAGTTTAGGTAGAGAGTTGAAACCTTTTTTTTTTTTTTTTTGAACACCAGAGAGTTGAAACCTATTCTTCACAATTCCATTTTTTCTTTTCAAAATTCATTAATTAGTCATGTTTCTTAGGGTCTTCAATTTCATAGAGCGGTTTGTTAGTCAACATTCTTTTATTGTGTTATTGGAACAAATGTTTCGACGAATTTGGTTTTCAATCAAATGGCATTTGGATTGCCATGTTTTCTGCATACTGCCACTAAGGTAGGGTATTTACAGACGATCAACTAAATAGTACTGTTCGTTTTGTCAAAGTAGTTTTGATTTCCAGGTTGATTTTTTTTTTTAAATGCAAAATGAACACAAAAAGTTATAGAAGTTAATCACAATGTGCTTACCAAATTTTAATGGGAGGGAATAGGATGAATTTTTTTCTGGTAAACTAATCCAATTTTTAGATTTCAATTATTTAGATTTGTTTTAAACTAAAAAAATCAAGGACCTTTTTGTGAGATTTTGTACAATGTTGGGCCATTATAAGTGTTGGATTCCTGGACGGTCACACGTCCTATCCCTTCACATGTGTCGGCCCTGATCAATGATCATACTTACTAAAATATATAAATTGTGAAAATATAATCATCAACGACTCAACCACAAAGACTATAAATGAAAAATGTTGCATGTGCAAAACGCAAATGTAAATGATATCACATATGTTAAACGCTAGTTTGTATTGTTTTCATATCGAAACAAAAACACAACATAAATGTTAAACGAAAACTAAAAAATGCATATTCAAATTTTTTGAATAATTTTCATCAAAAAAAAAAAAATTACTATCTAAAATTTTAGTATCTCTATTTAGGAAAAAAAACTCACATGTGAATTTACATAACTAACCTTATTAACAAAAAAAAACAGCTAAATTAGTTAGTATATATGCATGTTGATTTTGGTAGGGGCACAAAAATTCTCAAAAGATGGATATGAAGAGCATTTGCAAGTGAACCATTTAGCTCCAGCTCTGCTTTCACTGCTCCTTTTGCCTTCGCTTATCCGAGCTTCTCGAAGTCGAATCATTAATGTCAATTCTGTTGTAAGTAACATACATCACCAATCAAAACTATGTATACTTCGATGATCATATATATCTAAGAAACTACGCTTAATTTCTTGCGTACTCGTTTGGTAGATTCATTATGTTGGTTTCGTCGATCCGAGTGATCTTAATATTGTTTCTGGTAAACGAAAGTTCTCAAGCTTGATTGGATATTCTAGCAGCAAACTCGCTCAGGTAAAATTTTATACACACGCAAAAGATAACTTAATTTGAAAATGTTTATATAATCCAAATTGGATTATTACAACTTTCATGTTATGTTCATATATGTCAGGTTATGTTTAACAATGTTCTTTCAAAAAGACTGCCTTTGGAAACTGGCATTAGCGTCGTTTGTTTATCCCCTGGCGTTGTCCAAACAAACGTTGTGAGTATTAGTTAACCCTTATTTGTTTGTGTTTCCGTTTATTTTTATATTTTATAAATGATGAACTCAGTCTTAAACACAATAAACGTCAAATATGTTTGCTAATTGTAAAAGTAAACGACGAACGCAAATGATAACACTTGTGGTTGTAGTATCACCAAAAAAAAAAATTGAAAACGTAAACATACAAATTGCGTTTGAAGCCGATTACAAAAGGAAACGCAAGATTATGTAAATATATTAACATTTCGACATTGTATCTCACATATTATGCAGACAAGAGATCTTCCAAGAATTATTCAAGATATTTACTCTGCTTTGCCTTATTTCATCTATTCTCCACAAGAAGGTTGTAGAAGCACACTTTTCTCGGCGACAGATTCTCAAATTCCAAAATACTGTGAATATTTAAAAACCGATTCTAAATCCGTTTGTGCATTCATATCTCAAAATTGTCAACCTACAAATTCTTCAGAAGAAGCTCAGAACGTAGAAACATCGAACAAAGTTTGGGAAAAGACGATAGAGCTTATTGGTCTTCCTCTTGATGCATTGCAAAAGATTATACAAGGAGAAGAGGTCCAATGTCATTATGGGTTTCATTAACAATGAAATCTCTGATTTGACTTTTCGATAAATGTGGAAACTTTCTTAATGACTTTATGATTTATCTATAAAAATAAGCAAATGTTATAGTAGCATATTTATGTGAATGCTCTGGCCACTAGAAAGTCTTTGGAATTTTGGTCATAGTCATACACTCTTACTTGTTTAGAAAGAGTTGACTTTTAAAACGATGTAACAAAACCAATATCTTTTTCTCATTTCTACAATTTATTATTCTTCTTTTAACCCCAAAAACATTTGATTATACGGTAATTATTCTCTGTATGTGGCAAATGTTTTGCATACCAAAGTTTTTATTTGTTATTTGTATTTATCTCCTTTCATTACCATGAATATACTCGAAATCGTTTTTATGACTCAGTGAAATATAGTCACAGACATTCTGCCCATATTTTATGTAATAAAAACACGAAAAAGACAATTAAACATTAAAATAAATTATAGTATTATATAATTCAAATGATTACGTACACTGCCGTAACAAATAAAAATAAAAATGATTACGTACATTATATATAAGTCCATATTCTCAATTACAAAAAGGATTTGGTCACTGCTTTAGTTTCCAACACACCAACTCCATCACCAAAAAAAAAAGAAAAATGGATTTCACAAAAATAATAACTTTCTCTCTCTTGAGTCTCTCTCTCCTAATCCCGACGAGGACCACTGCCACATGCACTAACGCCGTTTGTCGCCGTGGCGATCCGATTATCCGTTTTCCTTTCCGTTTAAAGTCCCATCAGTCTCAATCTTGCGCTTACAACAAAGGATTCGATTTAACGTGTGGTGCTAACGGCGTTAACCGAACCACCATAACGCTGCCGTTTTCCGGTAACTTCACCGTCGAGCTGATCGATTACGCGGCTCAAGAGATTTGGATCAACGACCCAAACAACTGTCTTCCTAAACGGATCTTAACGCTAAACCTCTCCGCGACGCCGTTTAGTGGCGTTTACTCACGTCAGTTCACGTTTTTTAACTGTCCAACCTCGGAGTATCTCCGTTTCAGGCCGTTAAATCCGATAACGTGTTTGAGCGATAAAAACAGCACGGTGTTTGCGACTGCCTCGCCTAGAGTGATGAACTACCTGTCGTCTCAGTCATGCCGGTTAATGAAAACCGTTGAGGTTCCGGTTCGTTGGCCGTTTTATGAGCAGGCCGTGTCGTATTCGGAGTTGAGTGATAACCTCTGGCTCACTTGGAGGGTTCCGAGATGTAGTCGGTGTGAGATTAGAGGTGGTAAGTGTGGGATTAAGAATAATTCTTCTCGTGAAACCATTTGCTCTGATGCTCATAAACCAGGTAAATAATTTTACTTTCACCCTTTATTTGCCATTTTTAATACTGTTAAGATGGTTCATCATCATCGGTCTTGGTTTTTGTAGTTTAGAATACAAATTTAGTCTCTAAAAAGTCAAAAATGCAACAAAATAAGACGATTATTTTAGCAAAAAACAACTAATTAAGATGATTAGAGTATAACAGTTGACGTAGACCATGACGAAATATCTGTGTTGAATGAGTCATGTGTCTGTGTGTATATAGAATTATGGAATAGACAAGTTTGAGAGAACGACTATTGGTTACAACCAAATATTTTGTCCTTTGTAATTGTTTAAATCCGAAATCCACATGAGACGATTCAACACGACATATTGACTAATCAAAATTTAAAAATATATTAAGAGTGTACACTGAACACATGCATATTCATTTTCCACCAATAATTTTGGTAAATAAACCTACGATATAAGAAAAGTAAACGCGAAAATTTTTGACTACAAAAAAAAAAACGCGAAAACTTTTAAAAGTCATAGGAAAAAATGAAAAGTTCCTAAAATGACCAGCTTAACGTGAAAGGCGGCACACCAAAAGCGTTTTCGTTTTTCCTCGATCTTTTTATCCTTTAAGTGTATATAAATAGATGTTTTAAGAGTTAAATTTACTTTTATTCAACAATATTAAATTAATTATAGGGTAAACTAAAAACAAGATTCGTAAAACAAGAAAATTGAGCTACAATATGGTATGGTGATTGTTATAACTTATTTTCTCTTACATTTCTTTTAGTACGAAAATATATATGGTTATTAAACAAATATTTTTTTTAAAAGACATTTATTGAGAAGAATGAGAAGTTGGGAGATAATCAGTAGTAAGTGGACACAAGGTCGTTGCCATAATAATGAAAGCTCCGATGTATTTGACTTCTTTTGCCCTACTTTGCCCTACTTTTTTTTAGTCAACTTATTCAATTGTTACCCATTTACTAAAGAGTCTTCTCTTCTACCAATCACAATTTGTTCTTTTATTATCTTTAATAATACACATAATTAATTTAAATATCATACGAGAAACAAACTCAGCCCTAGTCGGCCTAACCATTTCCATAACAGCCGTAAAGTTTCTGCATTAAGCTACACTATAAATACAAAAAATGAAGGATTGGTGAATTACTAATTACTTTTTTTTTGGTTCAAAGTGAATTACTACTAATTGCTAACTACATTAACGGTAGTGTATTACTCCCTCCATTTTTTATTATATGATGTTTTAGAGATATGCATACAGATTAAGAAATCATTTAAATTTTTACTTTTTCAAAACAAAACATATTTTTTTGTCAATTCCAAAACAGTTCAACCAATAGCAAAATAAGATTCAAAATTAAAACAGTTAAAACAACAAAAGTATAATTATTTTTTGCATAGAAACTTGAAAACATCATATATTTTAAAACAAAAAATAAACTCTAAAACATCATCTAATAAAAAACGGAGGGAGTATTAGTTAACAAAAAATGTGATTTGAAAAATGTATAGTCATCAGAACATCAAAACAAAATGAACCACTTTTTATGTGTGTTGCTTTTTAATTACACATATATATATATATGCCTTTTATATTCTACATAATCATCATCTTATAGTTATTAGTATTATTTTTCTTTTTGTCATTTTCTCCTGATATTATTAATCAATATTCTCTTATTTTCAGCTATCCCGAGAAGAGCCCGTTATGCAATAGCCATCGGTGCAGGAATCCCAGGATCTTTAATCCTATTTGGTCTTTTCTGTTTCGTTTACAGCAAAATCAACTCCTGCATCAAACGACGCCGTCTCGTACCAGATATCAACAACACTCATGCCCATTCTTACCAACCCAGTGTCATAGTAATGGGCCTAGATGGGCCGACTATAGATTCGTACCCCAAAATAGTATTGGGAGAGAGCAAAAGGCTTCCCAAAATAGACGATGCCACGTGTTCCATCTGTTTGTCAGAGTACGAGCCAAAGGAGACGCTTAGGACAATACCACCGTGCCAACACTGTTTTCACGCAGACTGTATCGACGAGTGGTTGAAATTAAACGGAACGTGTCCGGTGTGTCGGAACTCGCCGGAGCAAATTTCGCCATCTGATAACTTTAATTCTTAGCTTGTTGCTCGTGTTTCTTGATTTTGCATCATTTGTGTACTTAGTTTAATAATCCTATATATTAACACTACAAGAAAACATGTCACTTTCCTACGAAAATTCCTACAACAATTTTGGTAGAAAATATTTATTATTACTTTGCTACAAGATTATGACGGAAAATAACAATAATGAGAAAGTGGTAGGAAATTTCTAACCGTTTTTAGTTGTTAAAAAGTGGTCAAAAGTTTCTTACCACATTATTATGAAAGCGGTAATGGTAGGAAAAGCGATGAAAAGATGGTGAGAAATTTCCTACCACTTTTCTACGAAATTCTCTTTTTTAGTTATCCGTAAAAAATCTGTAAGTAATTTAATAAGCATTTTCAAAAGTGGTAGAAAATCAGTAGGTAAATATTAATCCGTTGGTTATTCATAAGAATTTCGTAGGAAACCAAATAACCGTTTGAAAATATATCTGTTATAGATGTGGTAGAAAATTGGTAGGAAATCGAAAGGATTAATTATGACCGTTAGCAAAAAAATTGTCTATATAATCCTCCCAAAACATTGAACATAACCACAATAAAACAAAAATCTTGTAAAATGTCGACAAGTGATAACAATTGGCGGTCAAGGATGTATAATGATATATGGAATTCAAATACCAGACATCTTAATGAAGATTTTACTGTTGGACTTACCGAATTCATGTGCTTTGCAACAAACCAGGATATATGCTTACAAAGTGGTAAGTTATTTTGTCCTTGTCCAAAATGTGATAATAATAAATTCATTACTGTTAACAAAGTGTAGAATCACTTAAGTAGTCGGGGGTTTAGGCCAAATTATAAGATTTGGTATTGTCATAGAGAAAGTGACTATAGCAATGTGGGTAGTTCTAGTGTATCTATGGCAGAAAGGTTAGAAGAACCTAGAATGACAGAAATGTTAAAAGAACTTAGCATAGTAGAAAGGTTAGAAGAATCTAGAATGGCAGAAGAGAATATAGGTACGGTTCAGATGGTTCGTGATGCGTTTATGGAAAATGTTCACATGTTTTCGGAAGAAGAAAATAGAGTAGAGCAACCAAATTTGGAAGCAAGAAGATTTTTTGATATGTTAGATGCAGCGAAACAACCACTATATGCAGGTTGTAAGGCAAGCCATTCTCCCTTGTCAACTGCAACAAGGTTGATGAATCTAAAGACAGAGTATAATTTGTCCAAGGATTGTGTGGATGCTTTTGCTGATTTTGTGAAAGATATTTTGCCAGAAGATAATTTGGTACCAGCTTCATATCTTGCGATTGAGAAGCTCGTTTCTGGTCTTGGATTGCCATATCAGATGATTGATGTTTGCATCGATAACTGTATGATTTACTGGAAAACAGATGCAAACTACTTGGATTGTCAATATTGTGGAAAGCCTCGGTTTCAGAAAACTGGAGGAAGAGCTCAAGTGCCGTTTAAGCGTATGTGGTATCTCCCATTAGCAGATAGGTTAAAAAGGTTATACCAGTCTGAGCGAACTGCAATGGCTATGAGATGGCATCAAGATCATTCAAGCGAAGGTGAAATCGTTCATCCGTCAGATGTAGAGGCATGGAAACATTTTCAAACAGTTTATCCGTTTTTTGCATCGGAGAGCAGGAATGTCTACCTTGGACTATGTACTGATGGTTTCAACCCATTTGGAAGTTACATCCTGATTGTATTGGAGAAGATACTTGGTAAACTTCCCAAAGTTTATTTAATGATTACAAATATTGGTATGTCTACAATGAATATTATATTGCTTTGGTTTAATATTATTTTGTAGGTTTCGGCGTGATCATACAGGGAAGATTGCAAAGCAAATATTGAAGATGCTTAAATCAGATCTCTCAAAACCTTGGCCGACATATAATAGTCTCCCCATAGAAGTAAAGAATTGCTGGTTTAGAGCATTCGCGGTAAGTAGTTTCTTTCGCCTTGTTCTTTTAGCTTTATCATCTTTTATAATTAAGATGTTTCTTTTTAATTAGGTTTTTAATTACAATAATTTTTATTTACAGCAAGAGTTCAATTGGGATCCAAGCTTAACTGAAACCGTCCGCACTGCATACACAGAGCAAGCCACTGCGTCTTTTACTTCACACTTGAGTTACTGGAAGCGGACAATGAAAAGAAAAGCAGCAGCTGACTTACCAGAATGGATGAAGGCAAATAAATCTCTCTTCGATGCTTACAAGAAAATGTGGAGTGATGAGAAAGTGGCAAAAACGGCAGCTAAAAATTCCAGAAACCGAAAAAGTGAAAGAAGTGGTTTAGGCATAGCTATACACAACAATGGGGCCAAAACCATAGAAAGGCTATGGGATGAAATGGTAATACACAAAAACACATGCCTCAGTTTATTATTTATTTGCTTATGGTTTATAGAAATACATATCAACTTTGCCTCATTGTTTATTTATTAACTTATGTTTTTTTTCAAATGCATAACAGACGGCTGAACGTGGAGAGGAACCTGATATGGTGACATTTATTGATTTCATGCATACAAATAAAAAAACAGGTGTCAAAGACAAGAAGGTGCAAAAGTTAACCGTCGCTGCTATGGCTAAGATAGCTCAAATAGCTTCTCAACGAGAAGCTCAAGGAGAGGACCCGCTCACTCAAGCAGAGATTAATGCTCTTGTCATACAAATAAGTTAATTTTGGTTAGTGTTTGACTAAATTTGGTAAATTGTTATTATTAGTGTTTCATTCAAATTGTTATATTGTTATGAAATCCCCAAGATCAAAGGACGTCGCTTTGGTGTTGGTAAATTAATGGATAAGAGATACACATCTCCTTCTTACAACTTGGCGAATGCAGCTCGTGAAGCTCAGTTACGAGAGGAGATTGAGAAAATGAAGAAAGATCAAATAGAGAAAGATGTTTTACTTCAATCTCAGAGCACCTAACTTTAATCTCAGAACACCCAACTTCAATATCTCATGCATTTCAACAAGTTAGTCCTTGAAAAGTTTCCGGACATCTGTCTTCCATATCCTTCGACAACTACAACAGAAGAAGATGATTCTGAGACTCAGCCGTAGGTCAGTTTCTGTTTTAATTTTTTTTGGGATTATAACAATATTTGGCTATATGTATATTTTTAGGTAGTTTTTTGGGTTCAATTATGATGTTTGTATGGTACTGTTTATAATCCGTGTTGGAGCATCTGGTTTTTTTTTTACGATGCTTGTTGCATCTCTAACTCTGATCATTGTATTTAATCATGTTTTAATATTATTTCAGATGATCAAAAAAATTGCTTTTATATATTTTGTTATATTATTTAAATTTATTCTTAATTACAAAATTTCCCATTTTAAGAAATAAATTTAATTAAATAACTTTTATAATTAAAATTTTTTATACTTTCGTAGAAAAACCGTAAAACAAAATTTATATATAAATCGTAAGAAACTAATAGGAAAAGGGTCAATTAATATTAGTAGGTAAGTGGTAGGAATTAATTTTCTTACAAATGATTTCGTAAGAAATCGGTTAGGAATTTACCACCAATTTCCTACCAACATTTTTGACGAGATTTCCTACCAACCTTGTTTCGTTGGAAATTTTCTCGGACTTTTCTGCCACACTGAATTTCTGACGAGAGATAAGCTACCACATATTTTCGTAGAAAATCAGTAGAAAACAGTCGTTATTGACCAATTTCCTACCACATTTTCCACAGAAATTTGTATTGTTTTCTTGTAGTGTAAATGTTGCAGCATTTCTTTGTCGACATAATGTAGTTAGGTTTATAAGAAATTTGAAATCAAACTTGAGGTGTGTCCCTGATACTACATATCATATACTAGTATTAAATAACAAACCGACTCTTGAAAAGAAACGAATTTGGAGGTGTGTCTTTAACACGAGAAGCAAGAAACTGGATGTGTTTTGATGTCATTTTTCATATTTCAAAAATGCAATATAGGTTCTTATAAAATATGTAACGAAAGTAATTCAACAGTATAAAAACAAAGCATAGCTACCCGGAAGAAGAACAAAATATGTACCGTCATTATATTAAGGTGTATCAATGAAGTTGTTGAAAACTAATATAATATTTCTCCTTATTGTCCACAAAAGCTAGGGAAAAAATACTATATATATGAACTTTAAAAATGGTTATCGCATATATAAAAAAAAAATATAATAGTCGAACGATGAATGTGACGTGATGACTTTCTTCAGTAACTAGGCACCGACATCTTCCCATTCCATTCGTCGTGGTCTCGTGGGACATTCTTCAATTTTAATTAGAGATGATTTTAAATAAAAAAAAGGTACATCTATCATTAAGCTTGCGTGACGTCTTTTGATGTTAGATGAAGAAAACTCCAAACTGTTGTCGCCCTTTAATTCAACTTAGCGACGCGTGTCTCACATGTATTATAATTCTCTGATAATGACATCTCATCTTCCAATTCCTATTGGCAAAACTTAAAAAAAAATCTGCAAAGTCAAATCCCATTCTTATTCTTATAATGTGTGGTTGCGGATTGGATATCTTCTTACTCAGGACATACATATTGTTTTATATTATTGTCAAATGATATTATAAGTGGTGAACTTAATCTAGTTTAAGGTGGACCATTTACTATTATTTCAAACCAATTTGATTTGTTATAGTGAGAGTAACCAAGAGCTCACTCGAGCATTAAATTCATGGAATTGATTGAAATAACTTTTTGAAAATTTTCACTTTTCCGACACATGTTTCTGTTAAAATCTATTGCTTTTATACCGTTGTATCGTGAACCGAGTTATAGTTTTGCCGATGAGCTAGCAAATGTGTTGACGGTTGAATGTATTTGGTTATAACCCATTAGACGTTTGAATGAAATTACTGTCCAAAAAAAGGTGGTAAACCAGCATTTTCATAATCTGGTAAGTACATCTACCATTTCTATAAATATGCACAATTCGAAATTCCAATGTATAACATGTATTCACATATAAATATTGAATATATACATATAACATATTGGATGTAATTATATAAAGTCTTGTAAATAAAATCAGCCAAGGCACCCAAAGGAGAGTTGGTAAAAAAAACATGCACCCCACAAAACTTGATAAATTTCAACAAATTTCTTCTTTGTTAAACCCATGAAATGATTAATATGAGTGCAGACTAGTAAATTTAGAGTTTGTTTTATTGAAACACCTAGTAAATTTTTTAAACTGGATATATCCAATATAGTATAACAATAAGTGATTTAGAGTTTGTTTTTTTTTGTAACCTCCTCAAATAGATGAAATCATTCCCCATATTAAGCATATATTTGTTGTGTTTCTTATAAAAACTAGAAACCGTCTGCACAAAAGAATCATATCCAGTACTATCTTAACTTCTACAATTTGTCAACACGACATAATTTACGACGTGTTAGCCATTGATAAATGCTTCTTTAGAATCAATTTCCAGTTCAGCTTTCATATTTCTGCTGCATCATATAAGTTGCTCTTACATTTTGTAGACACTATATATTTAGCAAAAAAACGAATCAATAAATCTTTTGACTATATATTTCATAGTATTTATCAATAAAACAAAAAGTTAGAGCCATATGCTTTTTATCAGTAACATCATCATGTATTTCTCTCTGGATCAAGTACATTATGATGAATCTCTTGAATTCTAAACTTCAATACAGTAGTGTTTGTTGTAGTTATGTTTTGTATTCAAATCTGACATAATTTATTATGTTGAATTTGTTTTATATCTTATTATTATATTAGCCTACAATATTAAAAAAGGTTAAAAAGTTTGCATATACATCCACGAGAATAAATTATTAAAAATTAAAAAACAAATATAGAAAAAGTTGATTTTAGTCTGTCGTGGGTTCCTCTGGAAAAACAAATAGACCTTTCACACAGAGAGAAAGAGAAAGCCTGAGAAGTGAACACCGAAAGATTAAAAAGAGAGAAAGAGACCAAATTCGAAAAAAAAAGAGAACAAATTCTCTCTTCCCTTTTTTCAATTACTTAAATCTTTCCCGCTCACTGTTCCTTCTTCAGATCACGTTTGGCTTCCGATTCTTCTCTCTCTCTCTCTCTTCTCCGCCGTTAACCACCAGGTATCATTCTCTCTCTCGCTCTTATGCTCTTAATCTGTGTTGTTCGCATTTGACTTTGCTTCCGTGCATGATCTCGGAGGTTTTAATTGTTCCGATGTTGGTGCCAAAGAACTTGATTGTTACGGTTTACTTCCGGTTTGATTTTTCTTGTCGCATCGATGCTGCCTGAGAAAGTTTCGGTTTTGAGACGATCCTGGGTTTTTGGAAACCCTATTTTCCTCCTTTTTTTTTTGGGTGAGTGCAATACGAATTTTGGTCCTTCTTTTGGTAGATGGATTTCGTAAAGTTATATACTTCTATATCCTGGACCAACCGTTGTCTGAAAAGTGTTCGACTTTCCAGTTTGTAAGATTCGTTAATTAATGCTAAATCTATTCCTCCTTGACCCTTTGGTTTCCCTCTTCTTAATCTGCTTTTAGGGTAAAACCTTTAGACGAATGTTTAGGCTCTGAAAAATCTGCTGAATCTATTCAAAGCTGTTAGTTTCTTAAAAGTCTTTCTGTTGTTTTTGCTTCTGTGCCTTCTTTAAGCGGTGTGGATTCTCAATGTTTTTTGGGGTTTGTTGCAGTATACAGAGGCTGGAGCTGGGGAAGAAAAGGATTGTCTATGGAGGGAGAAGGCGTAAAAGGTTTGGCATGCCCGAAGACTATGGATGGGAAGGCGAGTAATGGGAATGGTTTGGAGAAGACTGTGCCTTCTTGTTGCCTCAAGGCCATGGCTTGCTTACCAGAGGATGATGCTAAGTGCCACTCCACTGTTGTCTCTGGATGGTTCTCGGAGCCTCACCCTCGTTCCGGTGATAATAGCTTTACTTTTCTTTTTTTCTTGTCACGCTTCCTTGTTGTCTCAGAACATGCGGCTTATTTTTTGGTTTTGGTTCTTTACTGGATACAGGGAAAAGAGGCAAAGCAGTGTATTTTAATAACCCTATGTGGCCAGGTATGCGAGCTCTTGATAGGCTTTCTTTCTTTTTGCTTTTCATTATCTTTCAAGGCTCTGCTTAGTTTATGTGTTAAGGTTTGCAAGTTGTAGTTTTTGAGAGTGCTTGTACATGTGACTTAAGCAGCTGTGTTTTTCTATGTGTTGATTGTAGGAGAAGCACACTCGCTGAAAGTTGAGAAAGTTCTGTTCAAGGACAAGTCAGACTATCAGGAAGTCCTAGTGTTTGAGGTTTGAAATAACTTGTTTCGTTAGACTTTTCTTATCATCTTATGAATCTGTTAGCTACTAACTGTACTGATTTGTGTAGTTTGTTGTCATGTTTCTGCTTTAGGATAACCTCATTTTTGTTCTTATTTTTTGCAGTCAGCTACCTACGGGAAAGTGCTTGTTCTAGATGGCATTGTACAGCTGACTGAGAAAGATGAATTTGCATATCAGGAGATGATAGCCCATCTGCCTCTATGCTCTACACCTTCACCTAAAAATGTAATATTTCACCTTCAAAGTTTCGACTCTCTGGTTGCATATATCTCGTGGCTTATGGCAAGTAAATCAATCATCACAATGCAAGTGAATTTGCATTGTGATGATTTGGGACACAATGCGCTTGCCTGTTTTCGCCAATGTTGATCATTCCCGTGCATTGAAACATTGATTCAGCTTAACTTATAGTAGGGCTAAGTAGATACATTATCGTTTCTTTTTTTTGATGCTGGACTTTGGCTCTATAAATATTTGCAGGTTCTGGTTGTTGGTGGAGGTGATGGTGGTGTTCTCAGGGAGATTTCTCGCCATAGCTCTGTTGAGGTTATTGACATTTGTGAGATAGACAAGATGGTTATAGATGTAAGTACATATGGTCTTGCTGTGCATATCATAAATATGAGCATTTTAGGTTATGCTTTATCTAAAAAAATGTGATTCATTTGGTTCTGTAGGTGTCTAAGAAGTTCTTCCCCGAGTTAGCAGTTGGATTTGAGGATCCTCGTGTTCAACTTCACATTGGTGATGGTAATGAAGCACTCTTCTACTTATTCCGAATTTAAAAACCTATCTGAAATTTACTCTGTGTTGATATCACCTTTTCTTCCTGCAGCTGTTGAGTTCCTTCGTAAATCCCCTGAAGGGAAGTACGATGCCATTATTGTCGACTCTTCAGATCCTGTTGGTATGATTCTCTTGGGATATCTGAGTAGTCTAGTTTATGTGTTTTTTACCTTAAAATTCTGAATTAGAACGTGCTTCAGTTACAAAACTCTCATGTTTTCTTTCGCTCTATGTTCATAGGTCCTGCCCAAGCGCTTGTTGAGAAGCCTTTCTTTGAAACTTTGGCTAGAGCATTGAAGCCTGGAGGAATTCTCTGTAACATGGCGGAAAGTATGTGGCTACACACTCATCTTATTGAGGACATGATCTCGATTTGCCGCCAAACATTCAAAAACGTTCAATATGCGTGGAGCAGCGTCCCAACATATCCAAGGTAACTCTAGTTTTAGTTTTCTTCTAATCACATTCCATGGTCTCTCACTCAAAAGAATACATGAAGTGAGCAAAAATCTTTATTGTAGCGGCACGATTGGTTTCGTCCTGTGCTCTACGGAAGGACCGGCTGTTGATTTCAAGAACCCTATTAACCCAATTGAGAAACTAGACGGTGCCATGACCCATAAAAGAGAAATGAAGTTTTATAACTCGGATGTAAGTTGTGACTTTTCCTCATTGAGTACTGTAGATTCACTTAGACAGACAAAATCTAAATCTGTCTTTTTCTTTTAAAACAGATGCACAGAGCTGCTTTCGCTTTGCCTACATTTCTGAGGAGAGAAGTTGCTTCACTTCTAGCTTCTTGACTTATTATGTTTGGCGTGACGGTTTACTACTCTATCCCTCATATCAAAACTCTCTAGAACCCTAGAAGATGAATAATTCATAGGAGGCTTGTATCTCTAAGCTCACTCCTTTACATTAAAGACTTTCTATTTATATATTGGCTTTTGATGAATTGTTTTCTTTTGTTGACAAATTCATTCATATACATACATATGCTAAATCAATCATCACTATTGAAATCTGGTTCTGCTGGTTTCTGAAGTAACATAGGAGGCATTCGTTCAGGCATCCTCGGTTTCCGTACTGAACCGCTCCTACGTATAGTCCTTAAGATATTAGCAGCGAATCTTGACGCGTACATCGTAGCCCCAAGGCTCGGGGAGCTTCCACAAGCTTCCTTAGCCAAAGCATCCTGCAAACGATTCTCTTCTTCTTTAAGAGACTCTTCGAGTTTCTTCTTGACATATCTTCTCCAAGCGGCTTGTATGAAACAAGCAGCCCAAGTCCTCCATTGCTGCGAGTAGAACCTGAAAGTATGTCTCAGCTGTTTGCTGTGGAGACGTCTGAACTGTGAAGCCACGAACTTGAGGTCATCGGCTTTGAGCGCGAAAGCTTCGACTTCCACGAGAGCTCGAACGGTTCTCGTTGAGATTGGGAGGTTTGAGGATGTGTGTGGGTCTAAAGCCCAAGTTAGAAGCTCCTCGCCGCAGAAATCACCGGCTCCGAGATGCTCCGAGTTGAAGAAACCGGTTCTTCCACCGTTTGTTGTCATCGTTAGAAGCTTCCCTCGCATAATGAAGAGCATTTCGTCTACAGGATCTCCTTCTCTTACGATGTAGCTTTCCTCTGTGTACAGCACAGGTTGCAAACGGTCACATAGTGCATCAAGAAGCTGTTCGTCCATTTTCTCAAACATCGGTACCTAAAAGACCAATAGAGACAGAGACACGATGATATAAGGTCAAGAGTGTGTGATACTGACAATAGATGTAAAAGAGAGGAGATAATGATTTGTTTTCTTGTTACCCGCATGAGAAGAGCGAGACAGAGATGGCGTTTGATGTCACGTCTAAGATCTTTAGGGAGATTACTAAGAAGATTCTCTTCGTCGACGCCTCTTGTCTCTTGCCACTTGTACTGCTCGTATCGTCGGATTCTTTTTCTTAAGTTCTCAGGGAGCAAACGGTGAGCCATCCATTGCTCAGCGTCTCTTCTCTTTACCCTCATCTCCTCCAACCTTGTGGTTGTTGATTGCAGATACGTCTGCGCATTTTTTTAGTTTTACAAACAATAAGCAATCGATTCTTGCAAAACACTAACGGGTAAATTCGATGGAGACGAGAGACTAACCTGCATGTTCCCGATCAAGAACGAGAACAGAACCAGCCCGGAGATAGATATGAAGACAGCGAAACAGATCTCCCAAATGTATGTGCTTGTCTTAAGGTTCTGACCGAGCGAACTGGATCAAGAAAACAGAGAATTCAAGAACTGGATCAAGAAAACATAGAATTCAAGAACTATAGTCTTCACTCTCAATACCTGAGGTTTTGCAGACCCCACCAGAAACAGTAGAAGAACTTCTGAGGGAAATCTTGAGATTCCACTACACCGGAGTCAAGCGCGCCAAGGAATATACCAAAGTCGAAAAGCGTTGTGTTTGGCGTCTGAAACGGACAAGAATCGTTGAGGAAAGCATTGCCTCCTGCAGAGTTATGGTCACAGTACAACGAAGTGATATTGCAGATGTTCTTGTTTCTCTTGCAAGCTTGTTTCCAACACACTGTTTCCCGCTCTATAGAAAACAAATACCAGAACGCACCAAACACCTGCAAAATTCACATTCACCGGTTTTCACCAAAGATTATTCATTTAAGCTCTGATCCAAAAATGGTTAGGATAGAACGAATTGGGACTCACATGACTAGCAAGCATGTAGAGGAACAGATTGAAAGCAGCTCCAGCCCAAGCTGTCTCAGTAAGAATCCCTGAGGTTCTTGTCACTTCCTTGTAAAGCGGATAGATTCTTATAAACCTCGGTATGTACTGGAAGAAAACGATGAATTTCAACAGATTCTTCGTGTTCAATGACGGTGAGCCTCTCATATGCGGAATGATAATCAAAATCACCACCTGAAACAATTACTCTTTACTATCACCATTTCGAGCTTAATAGCTTGGAGATTGATATACAAATCAAAACCAAATCAAAATCACCTGTGGAAGGGGAAGAACAGCAAGAATGTCGATGATGAAATGCGAGGACAAGTAACGTCTAGCGATCTCTTTAGTGTCCTCAACGAGAACACCTCTCCCGAAAACACGAGAAGAAGGAGCGATGAAGCCAGTTCGGAACTGAAAAATGATGTGAATAACGTAGAAGATATCCGTGAATGAGCGGAGAACGCTCGCGGTTATCTCCATCTTCTTGTCGAGGCCGAGACATTTCTTGGCGTCGTTGATCACAGGGACGTAGAAGAACAAAGGGTCGAGAGAAACAGCGATTATACAAGCTAAAACGAAGATCTTGTTCCATCTCTGAAGGAAAGGTCCTTGTGGGTCAAGGATCTTGTGGCTGGAAACGATCCCTTTCGAAACAGTTTCTTTGAAAGAGTAGGACTTGTAGGATCTCCTCAACGTTTTCATCCTCGCGGAGCTTCTGTGGAACTTGTCGGAGATTGAGGTCACTGTTCTCCGGAATATTCCATTTGGAACCTCGTTTTTCCCGGAATATTCCACGTCTGAAGTCTTGTCGGACTTCCAATCCTGAAACCTGATCCAAGCAAGTGGAAGAAACAATCGAATTTAAGTTGCAAGACCTAGAATTTCGAAGGTTTGGTTCGATCTCGAGTTAGCAAAAATCGAAACACACTTACTTCACAAACTTCTCCTGTCGGAAATTCATTTGTCGGAGAGTAGAAATTCAAATCGCAGAGATTTCACCTCCCATGAAGATTTGCGAATGCCTTCTTTGTCAAATTTGAGATAAATTCGAAACCCTGATTCCACAAAAGTACCCAAGACGAGATGAGTGAGAGAGGATATAAACTTCAATTCAGCAAAAGCTTGAGTCAGATTTCAAAACTGTTCCTACTGCAACTCCAAATTTGGAGTAATGAACAAGTCGAAAGTAATTTAATGCAGTAAGCAGAAAAAGAAACTCTTTCTAAGTAGAAATCAAACCGAACACGGACAAGTGTTTTTGCTTCCGAGAATCCAGTAGATTCGAAGAGAGTTGAGGAGGACATGAACAATGAAAGTAGCAAAAGAAAGAAAAAAAAAACTGTTTAAAACCCACCAAAAGAAAAAAAAAAAATCAAATCTTTATTTTGTTTTTCCTCGGAAAGAGGGAGAAAAAAAAAAAAGATGGGATCACAAAAGCAAAATAAAAACCAGAAAAGAAGAAGAGAGAAGTTAATAAACGTACCAGAGGAAGAAATCGGAGAGAGAGAGAGAGAGAGAGTGATGATGAAGGTTGAAGAAGAAGGAGATACTGAATGATGAAAGCGAAGCCTTTATCAGAAGACAGAGAGGACGGAGAGGGTTTCCACGAAAGTCACAGACTTTGCTATTTTATTTTACTTTTATATGTTTTTTTCTTCTTTCTTTGTGATTTTCTATTAGGTCTTCACTGTTTTGTAAATTTTTTAAGTCATCCAAAAGGACACTTATACCTTTGCAACTCCTTTGATTACTCTATAGAAGAGATTTGGGACCAAACTTGAAGAAATTATGACTAACTGCGAATTTTAGTGCGAAATCATTTTTTTAAATTGAATTGTAGTAACAGACAACTAATTTGAATTGAGTCGTAAACTCGTTTTGTCGTCGAGTTGTAACTTAAAACTATAGTAGACGATTATGATCAAAGAGTACAAAAGTTCACACCAGCATATATATTTTTTATTAAATAGAATTAAAAAACTTTATATCATATATTTATGAATATATTGTAATTAATGCGTTTTGACTGACTAGATTTTTTTTCTTCTAATTTCCATATTTGTATGTTGTCTTGTTTTGTTATAGTATATTAGACCAAAGTTAAGATTTTAAATCTTCAAATATGCTAACTTTGATTATATGTCAAATATAATAGATTATATATTCATCATTTTTTTTCCTTTAGAATCATGGTCTAGAAACAGATTCACGAATCTCCTCAATGTAAAAAGTTTCAAATTATTTTACCTTAATGTAAAAAGATTTTACACCTAACTAAATAACTTGTTTAGTTTTTTTTTTTTATATATCCTACAACTGAATAGTTTCCGGTTCATATCATTTTCTGCATGAGATTCACATGTTCATGTAACAATAACACATGTAACATTTTCAAATTTTGAAGATTCTGTGGCATTTTTTTCAACTATGTATGAACAATAATATTTGATAAATTCCAACATAATTTTTTTTATAAATTATCGAAAATACCATTTAATTTTTTTTTTGACAAGGTTCCAATGAAATTTCCGAAGAACATATGTTGCTAATTTGTTTTTTGATGAAATGTCGAGAATTTTATTTTTTGTTTGAATGTGGTTGCTAGTTAATCAAACAAATTTTGATGAGTAAAATCCTCAAAAAAATGCCTACTAAAAAATCCATGTTTTTATAGTGAATTATGTAGGATTTAACAAGTACAAAAATGCGGATTGTTTGTTTTATTTCCACATATTTGAATTTCAGATTCAAAAATGTTGCAAATACAAATTAATTAGATTAAAATCTGAAATAAGATTTAAAGAAAGGTTGTGTGGACCTTTACAGTTTTTCCAACGACAGAAAATATGGCATTTCTTCTATCTCATATAAAAAATATTCTATTTGTTTCAAATGAAAAATTATTTTAAACTTTTCATATATATTATAAAAAGAATTAAAATTTGATAATAAATAAAAAAATATCTAATTTAAAACCCAGAATAGTTTAATAAAGTCAATTATTTCTGTAAAATTTATGGTTTATCATCATTAACTAATTTTTTTTATCAAAAACATAAAAAATCTTTTTTTTAATTTGTTTCTTACAAAGCATCTATTAATTTGAAACATATTCCTTCTCTTCCTAAAAGAAAGATGTTTTAGAATTTTGTACACATATTAAAAAAATATGTTAAATTTGACTATAAATGCATTATGTGTTATGATTAATATTTTCCTATAAATTAAAACTAGTAGTAATTCAATAAATCCAACTACTCTTCTTGGAATTCACCATTTATTAGTATCATTAACTAGTAAATATGCATCAAAAAAAAAAAAACAGAAACCATTCATCTCTCTTAAAACAACTTTTTTTCTAAAACATTCATTTTTCAAATAATAGAGGGAGTAATTTATCAAAAAAAAAACATGGTAGTTTAAATTTCCCCCTAAATTATCATTATTATTTCAAACTGTGAGGCTTTTACATTTGTTTGTTCATTGGCCACGAAAAGAAAAACGAAAGGGTGATAAAAGACATTGTCCGTGAGTATTTGTCGATCGATCAACCATGAACCAATCCCCACGTGTTCTCTTCCTCTTTTTCATCCCCTTTTTCCCCAAGTTTCGTGCTCCACAATTTCAGACCCAAGTTTAAAATTAAATTTGTTTGACCACTTAAAACTAAAACATAGAGCATGAAAATTTGTCGACAGCTTATTGATAGTATTGTTAATTACTATTAGCAAATAGAGACCGTTGATAATGTTGTGTCCCTTCTCGTACGGTTGACTTACGGTTCCTCTTTCCCAACCGTCGGATCTAGAGAGGAAGTCTAAAGGTTTTGTCATAATCCATCAAACTATTCAATAACGTACTTCATAATCCAAATTTCAGAAAACAAAGTCAACTATTTTCTTTGGTAGATTATACTAATAAAATATCAACCGAATTCAAACTAGTTAAGACCTTTGAATATGGAAGATATGAGTCAGCCTAAAAATCAGCTCAACTATCTTCCCATCTGTATTATTTATCACAAGGAAAAAAAAATGTAATCAAAGGATCTTCATGTGAAAGCAATACCACCATGAATCTATTTTTGTTTCTTTGTCTCCTAGCTTTAGTATATATGAGAAGCATGTGAAGCCTTAGTGATGGTTTGGTGGTAGTGCTCTGTTATCTATTATCTAGCCAACACATTTCAAATAGACAAGAGAGTTTTGACTTTTTATTTATATAGTCGCTCCTAATATAATCTCTTTTTATAATGTACATTTTGTATTTCTCATATCATAAACTTTGCCTTTTTTCTTTTTCCTCTCCATCTATCAATTGTTTTTTCTTTGGTCGACTCAGTTTTGGAAGCTGTGTCGTCTACATTAAGGCAAGGCTGAATGAGAAACAAGTGGGTTTTACGTTTGAGCTTTTTTAGGTATATACGAGCTGTAGAATTGTTGTGACCTAATCTTAAGTAACACTTATAAGAACAACTGAAACAATATTATACATAAGATCAAATTCTATCGTATAGGTAGCATCTTGTTGTTGTCTCATTTAAAGCTGTACACATGTGTGAGACAGAGTGGTTGAGTATACTTATATGCGTATTCTCCTATATTACATACAAAGCTCACAAACTTGATCATGTTGTACATTTCTTTTAAACCCAATATATATTACCTGTTACAAGTTTGTTGCGTTCTTTAAAACTTTTACAAATTCTTTAAGTTTCTTGTGTTCTTGCTCTTTGTCTCTGCATACGAAGAATAAAGAAAGAAAAGGGAGAACAACGTTTTATTGTCTTTTTTGCTCCATTTCTTATGATATTATGATTTTTGAAAGTTAGTGTTTCTAAACTCAGTTGATATAAAAAAAATTAACACAAGTAACAATATCAATCCACGACACCATCATCGTCTCTTTGTGTCGATATCAAAATCATTGGATATTAAAAGCTGGATGACAAAGTTGATGAGTATGTGTATTTGGGTATTCGGTTCAGATCGGTTTGGATAGTTCGGGTTTTGGAATTTGGTATGCAGATTTCTATACCGTTTGGGTTATTGTAAAAATTGACGGTTTGATGAATCCTGGTTCGGTTAAGGAAATTTGAAGGAAAAAGCGAGAGAGGAGAGAATTTGAATTAGGTTGATTTTAAAAATTAGTAGTATAAGACAAATGAAAAAGATGATTTTTTTGTTTATAGAAATTAAAGAACAAGATTAGTTGTGTGGTAAAAGTGAGGTAATCCAATGAAAAAAGAATCCTTAAAAAAGCTACTAACTATATAAATCTGGATGCATGAGTAGCGCCACGTTGCCGCTTCTGTTCGGTGCCATCCTCTCTCTCTCTCTCTCTCCTCTCACTACTCACCAGTCACCACTCTCTCTCTCCCCATCTCCTTCTCTCTTGGATTCTCTCAGATTCCATGGACGCTCCAAAAAGCTGATTCGTGGAGCAATTTTTTCCTTCACCCTCAGATTCGGATCCGTGGTACAACCGCGTGTTTTCTTTCCCGATCCGTTCTTAAATCCGATTCGATTCTTTCGTCAGAGCTCTGAGAATACTAGGATTCCTTCTCGTGCGACGGATCCTTGATTTGATTGGATTTTAATTATTTTTGTCATCTTCGAGTCGATTCGAGCAGATTACCTGTTAGTTTTTTTATTCTCTACTTTGATCCGTTTCGCTGTGTGAATTTGATGAATTAGGAAGTAAGATTTGGATCGCTTTCTAAATTTGTTTTCGTCATTGTTCATGATTCGATATTATATCATCTTACTCGCTGAATACGCAGGATCTACTTAATTGAGTAATTCGAGGTTATAATCAGCAGCTCAACTTTTTATAAAACTTATCCGTATAGATAGGGTTTGTTATCTTAAATTGGTTTTTTCGTAAGGATCCAGGATCTGTGCTGAGTTTAATGTGATATCTCAGCTCAAGATGATCGTGTTCTGTATTGTTGAAGTAGGCTTATATCTTAATCTAATCAAATCTTTTTATGGACGTTATGTATCTTGGCTTCTTGATTTTAGGAATCATATCTTTCGGGATACAATTAAGCTAATGACAGATCCATTTTTTTTTGTCTGTTCATTACACAGCTCTCCTGCACTGGAGAAACTTATTTGAGGCCAGACCTGCCTGATGGTATGCAGCAGTTTCATAAGGAGTGTCATTATTCAGGCTGGTCATATTGGGGTGTTGGCTCAAGGAAGACATCAGTTTAGCCATATCAAGAAGAAGTCCTTGAGTTTTGGTTTCGGGTTTAGAACCATTGCAGCAAAGATGATGGTCGATTCTTCTGCCGGAGAGAAACGAGTGTCCATGGTTGATATGCCGCCTGAGAAAGTTGATGATGGCGGATACATCGGTGGTGGGTGGAAAAAGTGAGTAGATCTCATCTTTTTTTTTCTTTTAAATTGCTGTACCGAATGTAGTAAAATGCGTTAGGGTGTTATATATAGAGCTATTTTACTGAAGATAGCAATTCCTTGTCGGCAAGCATTCATCTAACTTGAAGTGTGAAATGCAAGCAAGATGGTCCGTACTTTAGTCTGTCACATGTTCTCGTCATTTGTTTCACCAAGTTTTTCCGTTATACAGATGTTTATATAATGTAAGAAACTGATTTCCACTATATGTTGAAGCGTGATGTTGTTGTCTAGGCAATCTGTAATCGTCTGTGGTAGTATTGTATTCTACTCTCTTTTCATTTATATTTAATAAAGGTTATGTGGAATGGCAGTGACGACGGAAGCTTGAGCTGTGGGTACTGTAGTTTCAGAGGGAAAAGGTCTACGATGGAAGACTTCTATGATGTCAAAGCTTCCAAGATTGATGGCAAAACAGTTAGCATGTTTGGCATATTTGATGGTTAGATTCTGTGTTTTGCCTGCCTTTTCTTCTGGTTTCGACGGAAAGGAATCGTTAGTGTTGGATTGTGGAAGATATTTGATTCGTGTTGAAGTATCACCATTGAATCTTTCTCAACTTAGACATGGCTGAGCTAAAACACTGTACAGCTTCATTTTCAGATTTAAGTTGTTCGTTCTGCATATATGTCTACTATTTTAAGAAGGATCGTAATTGTCTTAGTTAGAGTCCGTAGCTGTACATGCTGACTGTTACGTCTGGGCTTTCTAGTTGACTGTTTAGGAAGCCTGTAGTGCACGGTCGAACTATCAATATGCGTTCATTGAATACTGAGAAGCAGAATCATATGCCGTTGGCTTCATCGTTAGTTATCCTCTATTAATTTCTGAAGCTCTAATCATCACAGGTCATGGTGGTTCACGTGCGGCTGAGTACTTGAAGGAACACCTCTTTAACAATCTTATGAAGCATCCACAATTTTTGACAGACACCAAGCTGGCACTAAGTGCGCTCTATATCTCTAGACATAAGATTTTACTATTGTTCTCAGAAGCATGAGCTCATACTGCTTCTTACAAGTTATCTGTTCACCTTCTAACTTGACCAATTTTGCAGGTGAAACATATAAACAAACTGATGTAGCATTTCTTGAGTCGGAAAAGGATACTTACAGAGATGATGGATCCACAGCATCTGCTGCTGTGTTGGTGGGGAACCATTTGTATGTTGCAAATGTTGGAGACTCAAGGACGATTGTTTCTAAAGCTGGAAAAGGTCAGTATTTCGTTGTGATCTTAATACTATGTGGTATATCATTTTAAAGATACATGATGAGCTTCAGCCAAAAATCGAGTTCAGGAATTGAAATCATGCAATTCCTTAAAGACATTTAAACTTCAGTAAAATAGTGAATAGAATCATCATCTGGTTGCTCACAGGCCTTCGTTGTTTTCTTTTCATAAGGACACCCTTTTTAAACTCTGTGTTTTATGTTCTGCAGCAATCGCACTATCTGATGACCATAAGCCAAATAGAAGCGATGAAAGAAAGAGAATTGAAAGCGCTGGTGGTGTTATCATGTGGGCAGGTAATCTAATACTATAGAAATCATCTCTCTCTTGTGTTAACCTAGTTGGTTGCTTGCTTGTGGACATGGCATAGCGAGATTGGAGATATTTATTTCCTCAGTTAGAGTTAGATCACTGGCTACTAAAGATGCTTGATATTTCCTTCTCGGATTTTCATAATACGTTGTCAATGTTGGGTTTTTATTTTCTGCTATTAGGTCAATTACTATTTTTGGGGGTTATTCACGCTTTAAACATCCACTGTCAGGGAAAAACTACGATTGTTGAATCTTGAGGCCTGCTCTTAAAGTATCTTCTTACTGGATCCCCTTTGTCAGCGTAGGCTTAAATTTAAATATCATCTGGAGTTTGCCTTTTCAGGAACATGGAGGGTTGGTGGGGTTTTGGCAATGTCCAGGGCCTTTGGCAACAGAATGCTGAAGCAATTCGTTGTTGCTGAACCCGAGATACAAGTAACCGCTTTTAACTCCACCTTACTGCTATCACCCGAAGGTGTTAATATAGTTCTCCTAATTTCGTTGTTGAGGTTTCGTGAACACATTCCTCTGCTTATTTTGCAGGATCTAGAGATTGATCACGAGGCCGAGTTTCTTGTGCTTGCAAGTGACGGTTTATGGGATGTAGTACCGAATGAGGTATATATAACTCTCAGATAAACTCCTCTTGTATCTGTTTCCGGATTGTTCGTAAAAATTGAAATGTTGTTACTTTAATGTCGGAATCAGGATGCTGTATCACTTGCTCAGAGTGAGGAGGAGCCTGAGGCAGCCGCCCGCAAGTTAACGGACACCGCCTTTACACGTGGCAGCGCAGACAACATCACGTGCATCGTTGTTAAATTCCGTCATGATAAGACCGAATCTTCCAAAACTGAACCAGAATCAGAGCCCGAACCGAACCCCAAAGCTGAAATGGAACCCGAATCAAACCCCAATGCTGAACCGGAAACCGAATCAAGCCCGGAAACCAAACCCGAAGCTAAACCTGATTCGAAACAGGAAACCGAACCAGAGACCTTGGGGTGAGAAAGCGGGTGAGTAAGGGTAGCCGTCCGGGGAGAGAGAAAGATGATACTGTTGGTGTGGAAGTTGAGGTGAATGTGCAAACAGATAAATATAAAATTGCTTTTAGTAGTTTGTGTGCTTTGTGGGCTACCTGTAACGGTGTGAGGATTTGTGTTTTGGGTTTTGTGTTGCACATGGCCTGCCTTTGAAGGATGACGACGCTTTGACCTGTCCTTCTGATTTTTGTCTATTCATTTTGCTCTATTTTGTTTGTTTTTGGTGCTTCTCACACCAAAAAAAAGAACACCATTATTTGTTCTGTTTCTCCCACTCTATTTCTTATCTTCTTATCCAATAAACAAAATGCTTTGTAATTCCTCCCAATCTCTTTACTTTCCCCGTTAGTAAGATCGTAAGTATGATTTACATTGTTTTGTTGTCGTGGTCACGCAAAAAGCTTGTGGTTTAATCGGAATCCTAACTGGGTATCGCACATTACGTGCCGGTATGAGCTAATACTTTATAAGTTGATGAATTCTGTAACATTTACGATAATTACTCATCGCCTCTTTCTATGTACACTAAGTTTGGAGACGTATAAGGGAAAATAATCTTATGCTGTTCAAAATATAATATTATTTGTCTCTTATGTTGGAAAAAATAATCTTATTCCATAGATTTGTGTTCCAATGAGTTTATGATGAGGACATTAGTACCACTTCAACTATACCAGTAGTCAAGAGAAGCTGCATTGGAGCTAAACAAAAACATGTCTTACTAGTAGTTGATGAGCAAGAAGAGCTTGTAGTTGAATTTAATGGAATCAAGGACCTAAGTTTCAAGTTTCATTAACTAAAACATCATGAAGAACACAATGATCAAGCCAAACTACCCTCACGACGATCTAGAAATAAAGATATTCAAGAACAGCTGCTAAGACAAACATATGGACCAACATTCACATTTTTGGAGCTATTTAAGGAAACCATGAACATATCTTATATCAATACTTGTCATTTGCCTTCCCTGACGTCCATAAAAGATATCAAAGGATTCAAACCACTAGACCAAGCTAATAACCAAGTCAAAACAAGCCAAACCAAAGAAGATATCAACATAAAAAGACTTTCCTTTTTTGGAGATAATTTCATTGCTTTCAAAGGAAAGCAAGACCAACGACCCTCTATCCTTTCAAAAAGATACCACACGTCCATACAAGGTAGAAGAGTCAAAGAATCATTCTCTTTCGTTACACCAATCAAGCCATTTGCCCCATTTAAGACTAAATGGCTAATTAACTTATTTTATCACTTTAGCTTGATTCTTGCTTTGTTTTTAATCAATGTTACTGTTTTGTATCTTTCATATTAAGCATTATATAAGCTCATAAGCATTATATTTTGAGGACATAATTTTATAAAGAAAACCCTTTTGTTTGTTTCTAAAGAAAGTATTTTGCAAGTTTTCTAAGTCTTTGTGAAATCAAAACTTTGAAACTCTTGTAGAGAATTTAGGAGTCTATACGAAGAAGAACTCTTGGGAAATAGAGACTCGAAACTGTGTTTGTAGAATCAGACACAATTTGCTACTTCTTCATCATCAACCTTCTCCATCCATAACTTAAAATTTTTTGATTCAAGTGTGTCAAAAATTGGTGAATTCCATTCTTATATCAGTTTAAACTATCGTGGTATTCAATCAGAAAACCACTTATTAAAACCAATATATTGTTTGTTACAAATATTTTTGACATAATTACATTTGGAATCACCCATGTATAAAAATTGTAAAAATCATTTGCAGTTTAGTCATAAACTAAAAATACTTCTTAAATGTTTCTTTTTTGGTAATCAAAGTAGTTAGGCACTTAGACTACTACATCATTTGATTTGTTTTGATGATTATAATATTTCCCCCTATACTAAATGTTTATGTTTCACCATACATAAGTAGATAACATACATTGATATAACTATGTTCATTTGAATAAGTACTAACATAAAATAAAATCTTTATAAATTAGTAATATTAAAATCATAATATTTTATTAATTTATTAAAATAAAAAAATTATAAATAATTTAATTGGATCAAAAATTTAATTTGAAATTAAAAAAATTTATTAATTTATTAAAAATATGAATCTATCGAATATTAATTTATAAAAGTTATATAGATAGATAAAAATCTAATAATCATAGTGAATTTAACCATGGTGAAGCTAACCATGGTTAGCAAATATTGAATAGAGAATTGTTTTTTACTTTGAATATAAAAGAAATAATTTAATAAATTTTGACACCCATACATTCTTCTACAAATTAATTTTCCCTGTTCTTAAGAAAAAGAAAAATCTGAGTAGGGTTTGTAAAAGGGTATCTGACAAATGGGTCTCTTGTAGTAAAAGCTGGTTTGATTCAAATATATTCTTTATCCTCGGAGTAGCGATCTAACGATTGGTACGTTTTCTCCTATATCCATGGTGTTTCCTTCTTCTTTTTCTTCTTCTATGTATCTATTTGTACCCTTATAGCCTTCCGCCTATTATAGAATACAGATTCTAAAGCTTCGAATTTGCAGTAATGGATTAGGGTTTTCGTTTTGTTTCACAAATCCCGACTCTCTGCAATGGTGAATTTTGGGAAGTTGATTCGTACCGTTTCGTCTGTAGATCCATTTTGAATTATTTTCGTCTTTGAACTGCCCCGAGTTTTCGCGGGTTTCGTGCTGGTTCGTTTGTTTGCATCGATGTAGATGTGGATTAAGGTTTTTCGGAACTCGTACTGATTAGGAGATTCAAATGCTGCTGCGGTTGTGGGTAGGTGAATTGTGATTTTAGATTTCTTTTGTTGTTAAGAGTTGGAAGATCTGTGATCGTACAGTTAAGTTTTGGCTTTGAATTGTATCTTCAAATCTTCTTCTCCATCAATCATTTTGAGGGTCTTCATTTGAATCTTGGCTCTTACTTACTGTTAAGATGCTTGATTGAACTAGATTCCCAAGATTGTGCATCTCTGTTATTATACTCACAAACTGTTTGTGATCTTTTGTTTGTGGCTTTGATATGGTAATTTCATAATTCATGGCCAAGGATGATAGAACTGTGTTTTATAAGATTGAGTCTCGTATCTTAATTGATTCGCATTTGTGGTTTTACCTAGTTGGATATGATCTGCCTCTATATCAAATCATGTGACATATTTTTTTCACTTTGTAGCCAATTAAACCTTCATATGGAAACAAATCCAACATTTCAGGGATGTTGAGATAACAGGGACATGTGTACTCAATTGTAAAAATCACATGTTGGTTCTGTAAACATTTCTCTGAATCTATTCTTGGTTTTTTTGGCTTCTTCATTGAAACAGGTACTCAACGCTCTTGAGGATTCTGTTTGAAGATCCTTATATTCTGAAAAGTTTCCATAGGACAATATATTTTGTAACGGAGAAGCTCCCTCTAGGGTAATGGAATGCAACAAGGATGAAGCGAAAAGGGCAATGGATATTGCTGAGAGGAAAGTTACAGAAAAAGACTACAATGGGGCCAAAAAATTCGCTATCAAGGCTCAAAACTTATACCCTCACCTTGATGGCCTAAACCAGTTGCTGATGACTGTTGATGTTTATATCTCCGGAGAGAAACAAATCAGCGGTGAAGCTGATTGGTACGGTATACTTGGTGTTGATCCCTTGGCTGATGACGAAGTGGTGAGAAAACAGTACCGGAAACTAGCTCTGATGCTCCATCCTGATAAAAACAAGTGTAAAGGCGCAGAAGGTGCGTTTAAGCTGCTCTCTGAAGCTTGGAGTCTACTATCTGACAAGTCCAGGAGATTCTCATATAACTTGAAGAGGCAGGTTAAAGAAAAATTCACAACAACGCAGAGTGGGAATCCACTGCGTCGCCCACCAAGCTCTAACGGGTATCAAAATGTAAAAGAACCTGTGGTTTCGCGTCCTAGGGCTAGAACTAAGCCCGCTGCTCCGCCTGTTCGTATGGATAGACCCCGCATGGATCCTCCTGTCGTTGTCGCTCCGGTTCGGAAGGAGAGCAGTACGTTTTGGACAATGTGCAACGCGTGCAAGACTCAGTATGAGTACCTGAGGGTTTATCTGAACCAGATCTTGCTTTGTCCGAACTGTCGTGAAGGTTTCGTCGCAGCTGAGAAAGCTCCGCCTCCGAGTGTTCCTCCGAAGCCAGTGAACCTCTCTTTTAACCAACAGCACCGCAGTTCCAAAACCCAAGCAACAAACAAGAACTCATATGGTACTTCCTCTGGGAGAGAGCCTGCAACATCTGGTAGCCATGGTTTTCGGTGGGAATCTTTATCAAGAATGCACGGTTCTAACAACCGAAATGCCACAAATCAAGCTGCTGCTGCGAATGTAGTTCAGCAAGCACAAGATAGAGTGAAAAGAGGGTTTGGGGAGTCGCAAGAAAGAGATGTTGCTAGAGGATTCACAAACTCTGATCTGAAGAATTTTAAGAAGCCGAAGACAGATGACTCCCGCATGTCTGGTACATTTGCAGGCAAGTGGTCGAATCAAACAGGTTTCAACAGGTTCAGTACTACTCCGTCTAATCCTGCCAAGGGAAATACTGAAACTCCAAGCACCATAGGCTCTCGTCATCCTGATATACAAGGAATGCTGTTACCTGATGATATAACAAAAGCGCTTGTGAAGAAGGCTCAGTCAGAAATTCGTAAGAGACTTCCGAAGTTGATCTCTGAAACGGTGGCAGGCGTGAAAGAAATTGAAAAGGAGAAGAAAAGCATGAAAGCAACAAGCAAGATGACTAGCAAGGCAAATGAGGTTGAAAGGAATAGTGTGCCAGTCGAGGAAGTTCCCAATGATTCTTCAGATCCAGAGAAGGAGGATGAAGTGGTTGCAATCGTTGTTCCGGATTCAGACTTTCACAACTTTGATCTTGACCGATCTGAAACTTCTTTTCAAGACGACCAGATTTGGGCTGCTTATGACGATGACGATGGAATGCCTCGGTTCTACGCCCGCATCCAAAAGGTGATTTCTCTGAATCCCTTCAAGATGAGAATCAGCTGGTTCAATACCAAAAGCTGCAAAGAGTTTGGTCCTATGGACTGGGTAGGCTCTGGCTTCGCTAAATCATGTGGAGATTTTAGGTCAGGGAAGTACGAGTTAACAGATGCACTCAACGCCTTTTCCCACAAAGTGGATTTCACCAAAGGTGCAAGAGGACTCCTTCATATTTATCCCAAGAAGGGACAAGTCTGGGCATTGTACCGAAACTGGTCCCCTGAGTGGGACAGGGATACACCTGATGAAGTCAAACACAAGTACGACATGGTGGAAGTTCTTGATGAATACACAGAAGATAAGCAAAACCTAACAGTGACTCTCTTAGTCAAAGCTGAAGGATTCAAGGCAGTTTTCCGCAGAAGCACAGAGGAGAAAGACGTGAGAAAGATTCAAAAGGAAGAGATGTTTAGATTCTCTCACCAAGTGCCACACTACGTTCTTACAGGGAAAGAAGCTGATAACGTACCAGAAGGTTGTCTGGAGCTAGACCCGGCGGCAACTCCTTGTGAATTACTTTTAGAGGAGAAAGAGTCATCACAAATGGACATTGACAAATGTGAGAAAAGCTCAGCTCGGGAGGAAGAAATGGGTATGAAAATAGATTAGTGGGTCGTGAAGGTAGTGGCAATGAGTACAGTGTACAATGGAGGAAGAAGCGTATCATCTCTTACGGCATCATTAGGACACAGGACTAATCAGGTCTGATCTTTTGCTTTATCTTTTGTTTGATTCTAAGGCTGACCACAAATAGTTAAACTTTAGTACTTGCCATTTTTTTGGCACAAGTATCTATGCCGGAGAAATTGGCCGGGTATTTCGATTTTTTTTGTTGGGATGTACAATCTTTTTGGTATTTGGTATTTACTCGGAGATTCGTGTAAGAACTCACTCAATTCGAGATATCGAATATATATGGTGGTTATTGGTTTTTGGAATTCATGCAAAGCTAGTTCAATCATATCTCAGTTTTTTTAAAAAAGATTTGATAATTGAAAGGGTTTAAGAGAAAAAGACAAGACTCGATCTAGACAAAAAAAAAAACTCAATTCAAGCTTAACAATTCCAATTTTGAGCAGCCAGATCGGTTTCGTCGACAGCAATGATCTTGACGCGGTTAGGACGCATGTCGGAACGGGGGTTAGCAGGGACACAGAAAGACTCGGACCTTGTGAGGGAAATGACAAGATCTCCAATGTCTCGAGTGTAAACAGCGTTTCCTTCTTCTTCCTCTAGCTTCAACACCATTAAAGCTTCTGTTTCCATTCTCCTATAATCAATAATGATGGTCTTGGAAACGGTCTTCTTGTACCACTTTAACCATGAAAATTTCATTGGTGCTTCTTGACTCCACCAAGTGTTGGCTCCCGTTTGGTATCTGTCATCTTGGGAATGTTTTTAAACCGCAACCTCTGGATGCTTGTGTTTGCAACTGAGATCCCATGATCCCACGAGGTGGCCTCCAGACCCGGGGATACGGAACAGCTCGTCTTTCTCTGAGAACATGACACGGGAGGAGAAGAAACAAGGATTCTCGATTCTGATGTTGATCCACTCGGAATTACTTCCAGCAGCGGATCTGCAAAAGCTGAGCTGAGGTCCCAAGAAATTGACAGCCACAACACAATCCTCTTCCTCTGGAAAAGGTGAGGACATTGCAATGTTGGTGACCATCTGGGTTTGACAAAGAGACAGAGATTCAAGAGGAGGCAATGAAATGGATTTCGGATCACGACCCTGGAGCCGTGGAGCCGGGTATTCTCGGAGACACACCTCGTCCTTCTTCAAAGTAGCTAACCATCCATTGGACGTTCCTATCATTCCCATACTCTCCACCAAACCCACAGACATCTTTCTTCCAAAAGTATTGAAGTCACCACATTGTTACGAGATTTGGTCTACAAGGATCAGCGCAGATGATGGTATAAGGAAGGGTTTGCGGCAAGCAAGAAGATGAGAAGCCATTAAAGTGAAGAGGAGAGGATCTTACCAACACAGGTTTCCCAAAGCATAGCTTCGAGGGCTGGTTGATGACAATGAGAAGGAAAGACCTAATTAGATAATTTGGGATGTTCCACAATTAATAATACAGAGGAAGGAAGGGGCTTGCCCACCAAGGGTAAATGCTAATGTATCCTTGAACCGTTTGGAGGAGGGAAGAGAGATAAGGAACAAACCCCCCCTGATATCTGATATATAGCAGTTACTCTTAGAGGATATGTCGCTTATGTTCAACATGTTTCATGGATCTTTAACGCACCAGTAGGTTCTTGTTATGTGCTTCTGTTTTTATGGTATGGTTCTCACTGTGAAGTTTTCATCTTCTCCTCTTGACATAAAATTAAGTTTGGTACGTGCTTTTACAAACGTCCGCACGCAGATTCTGAATAGTTTGATGACCAGTAGTTAATCTTAAGCGATTCTGAGCTGATGTTTGTAATTTACATTGTGTAGGTACGTGACAACATATTGTCTGGAACTCCTTTTTGACTCAGAAAAAATATGAAAGGGTGATCGATGTCAGTACTGAGGCATGACCTTGAGTTACTGCCTGTAAGTTTCGTTATGTAACATTGAAAAAGCTGAAAAGCATCTGCTCCGTCGATAGCATGGACTTTTCTTTTCTACTTCTCAGGTATCTAAGTTTGTTTCCTCTTCTTTCTCTTGATTGATAGGAGAAAGGGGTGTTAGCAAAAGCAGAGGGTTTCTATGGCTCGAGGGCCCTCTACTCTAAACCAATCCATTAGGAAGGATTATCAACCGATTCGCAAAAGATATGGGTGATATTCACCCAACGGTGGCACTGAGGAAAATGACAAGATCTCCAATGTCTTGAGTGTAGACAGCGTTTCCTTCTTCTTCCTCTAGCTTGAACACCATTAAAGCTTCTGTTTCCATTCTCTCAATGGTCTTGGCGACGGTCTTCTTGTACCACTTAACCAAGAAAGTTGCACCGGTGGATGTTGACTCCACCAAGTGTTCGCTTCTGTAGCAAGAATCCAGGAGCTCCCGTTTGGTCTTTCAAACCGCAACCTCTGAATCTGAGGTGCGGAGATCACATGATCCAATAAGGTGGCCTCCAGATTCGGGAATACGGCACTAAAACGTCTTATTAAAATCAATTTCGTAGTTGAGAAACCAGAACAGCCTGATGACTGAGTCATGACTTTTTGATACTTTCCACAAAGAAGTAGCATAGAAAAATTCAGGAGAATGTTATGTGGGTGTCTAAATTCTGTTTGTCTTTCCAGGATGATCTTATCATATGTAAATTACCAATGCTTCTATATATATTGCTTGATTTATTTAAATACTATGTGGTTTCCCTGCATTTTGTGCAGGGTTTAGTCCAGTTTAGAAAAATTAATAACATTGATTTATGTATAGGTAAAAATAAATTGATTTTATAATTTTGTGAATTTAAAATTAATTTATTTTAAAAATATATAATTTTCATGAGATATATTATTTTTGTAATAAGGCAAAATATATTATTTATATTTTATTTTTTAATATTTTTTATATTATTTTTAAAAAATTCATATGCTTATTAAACGGTTAACAAACAATATAACATTAGTTAACACACCACTAATAAAAACAGAGTAAAAAACACGCAGTTTATTAAAACTTCAACTATCCTAACTCATTAAAAGGTTAACAAACAATGTAATACTAGTTCACACCTACAACTAATACTTTATTAAAACTTCTTTCTCTTCTTCTCTTTTTCTGTTTTATCCTCGACACTTTGATATGACAGAGCATGAAGCTAATAATGATATCTCCAAAGTCAACATCCTCGCATTTCCGTTGTTTAACTTGTTTGTCATGATCCATTCCTTCACAAGAGTCTTTCTATCTTTAAATGGTTTGAGATTGAACTGATTTCTCTTGTATAACTGAGCAACATCAGTCTTCAAATACAAACTCACTTTATAGAATTTTATCGCTTCGAAATTATTTTTATTTTTATAACTTTCATTTGTATTTGACCATTAAAAATAAACTTTGATTTGCATTAATAAGAAAATTCATTAACATGGTTTCTGTTGCCCACAAGTTGCACGTTCCGTTTAGTTTGCTCAAGAGATATTTGCCTTTTGGATTGGTTTGTTATCATCGCATATTTCTTAAAATCCAATCAATTTAAAAATAAGCCTTTAAAATAAATAATTAATTGTTGTAATCATCAAACATATGTTCCTTGAGAAGCTATTGTTATCGTCACATTCATGTGTAAATATAGGTTTGATATAGGTTTTCAACGAAGGTTCAAAATAACTCGCGTTTTAAGTTGGTTTATATTAATCATTAACTATATCAATATAGGGAAATTGGAAGTTATATAATTTGTGAAATGAAATTTTCATTTGGGTTGGTAACTTTGGTATCATTACGATACACTGAAGATGTGTCTGCTAACGAGATAAACTGTGAATTGAAATTTTCATTTGGGTTGGTAACTTTGGAATGTGAAGCTCATTAACATGCAGTGAGTGGTAAGATACGTGGTTGTTCTAATGGGTCAATGTCTCTTTTTGGCCCAGCCCATTTAAGTATAGACCGATTTGGACCACTCGACGCTGCTGGTTCAACCGTTCAAGTTTGTTACTTATCAATTGTCTTATCGATTTTAGACATCAATTTTCTTTGTTTGCTTACGTCTATCATATATATTTCATATCTTTCAACATAGCAAGCAAAAAAGATTATTGAATTTACTCGTAAATTCCAAACATAAAACAAAAAGTCTCGTTCCGTTTGTTTTCGTGTTTACAAGCTTCAGAATGTTTACAAAAATAAAACCATAAAAGTTGTGAATTTTTTTCTTCGAGTAAAATCAAACCAAAAAAGACTTTGAAACTGCGGTTTAAAACAACCAAAGTCTTAGAAAGTGTAGTGAGAGGAGATTTTAGTCATGTGATGATTGATGGGTCTCACTCATCATCATCTTCTTCTCATGTATGTGAATAAAGAACGAAGCTAGAGAGAAGTGTGACATTTTGATTCATAAGCCTATATATATTGATGGTGTTCACGTCTATTTAGCTAAATGGTCAAACAAAGATAGATGCAAGTTGCAACACATGATCCTCGCTTCTGTCTTTATTTTTATTTTTTTCTCCTTTATTCATCCTCTTCCACACCTTTGTTTTGGGTCCACTTCTCCCTTCTTCCTTTTTTTTCTAATTAGCTTTATTTTGGATAATGTAAAATCGTCGTTTTCATACTATTTATACTAATATCGACGCATGAAGTGAATCTAAACATTCCCACTCTACAAAGGTGATTGTCCTTTTACATCCAACCAATAGACTTACTATTTATGAGACACTTACTTCTTGTGTTGTCGTTAATATAAGATATTAAAGCTCTCGAATGATAGCAGTCAAAGAATTGATTTGGTTGTACCTTAAAATAGAGTTGTTTGGTACTCTCTTTTTTTTTTGTGGTTTTAGAAATTGTTACGATCGACAAAGAGAAAAGAGACGTTTAAGTTTCTTTTTTCTCTTTCTGTTAAAAGATATGATTTCAAACTAATGTAGTTTTGTTTGAAGATTTTCACAGTTTCATTTGTGTGCCCGCCCCCTAAATTTTACGACATCAGTCAGTTGATAACTTGATAATTAATTAATAATGAATGATGTAAAAGCTAAAAGGGGTTGCATCATTTGATCATTATCTTGTATTAAAATGTTGGTTCAACTATTGAAGACTTCATAAAATGTAGAAGAAGAAAAATAAAACGTGAATGTAAGATACGCAATATCTAGAAAACGTCACTTTAAAGCGTTTTATCCAAACTATGGAGTTGGACCCCCAACTTTGTCTTTTATAATTTTATTATTTTCCTGAAACGACAATCAATTTTTTTGTATAAAAATACTCTTTCTTTCGTCAATAACAAATATTTTCGTAATTAAAAAAAAATCGCTCAGTCATGACTGATGATTAAATGCAAAAAAAGAAAAAAAAAATGATTAGGATGATTGCATAATGAGCCAATTAAGATCTTTAGAGTAAAAACATCCGAGATCAAGCTTAAAAAAATCGTTCAGAAATCGTGAAGTAATTATAAATGATAATAATGCGATCAACATACATAAATATGCAAATGAAATCCTTATTTAGACGCATAAATAAAGAAAACGTAAATAGACAAGCTTTTTGGCAGAAAAATGGTAGATGAGGAATATTGTGTGGACTTGTTGTTGGTGGCAAATATAACGGCTGGACTCAACGTCAATTAAAAGATAAAAGAATAAAAAAGAGGCGAAAACATTATAAAAAGATTTGAATTAAAAAAATATTCATTTAAAAGAAAAAGGTACTAATTACATGAAATATGTTAAATATACAAGATTGACAAGAGTACATATATATGAAGTTAATAAAACTGTTTGATTCTTGTGCAGTATAATATACAAAAATATATCAACTAAAAGATAACATGTTTGTCTCATGCATAAACAAATCATAATGTGGTTGCCTATAATTTTGACGAGAGTCTATAACGAGCCAATATCGAAAATCACTTTTAGATATCTAATTTGTGTACATAATATTAACGTGTAGTAGCATTTTCGAGAATGCTTTAGCACGTTACAAAAGTTAGCAATGAATTTTTCTTTCTTTTCTAGAAATGACTTAATAAGAGCCAAAACTTTTTTGTGATAATAAAAAATCTTTGTCACTTTGAGACATTTTCTTTTGGGATTTTAATAAAGAGTGTTGGATAAAGCACGTGGGACCATTCGCTCTCTTGAGATTGGCTCTTCGAGTCAAGAAAAGTTATGGAAGCAAACCCTAACACTGTTTACAAAATTTAATTCTTTTTATGTTCGATCATTTATAACAAACTATTGTAACTTATATAACCCATTATCAGGACATAAAAAACAATTTTATAACTCACAAGATGTGCGAATCAGTTTTATAATCTACGTCGAATGAGTGGTAATACCGTAATAGTTGTAATTTCTTATATTCTCTAATTAGTTGAAATTTCTTTATTCGTCATGTATAGTAAAATTTAAGAATCTTATTTCTATTTTAGGCAAATATATGTTATAAGGAGGTCAAAGTTTTCGAATGAGAGCGCTATTGCTGATTTCAAAGTAAATCTATTAGCATAAACGTATAATATATAGTCACGTATTAAAATTATAATACCAATAAAACGATTAGGATATGTAGTTACTGATATCTTAAACAAATTTTGAACACACAGAATGTTAGTTACTGATTAAAAAATATACCGGTAAATGAAAATTGAAGTTCAGAATAACAAAATACTAATTATAAAAAAATGAATAAATACCAAAGCAAGAATTTACAGAATAAAAAGTCTCAGGCACTTGCAAGTAAAATGATGTATAATAATAGTAACTTCATAATTTCAACAGTTATCCAAAAGAAATAAAAGACGAGCAACCAAAAATATCCTAGAGTCAGCAGCGCTCATAGGCTAAAACAATACTATAAAAGGAATCGTTTTTTTCGCCAATCAACATTTAATAATTAACTACACACAAAGTTTTCTTTGCTTAAGAAAAAAGTCAAAAAAAGAGAGTTAAGGGGTATAATCGTCAATACAACTCCACCCAGAAATAGACAACGAATGGCATTTATGTAAATATTCTGAATATTGTGGGATAATATACAATGTACTTAAAATCTGTCCAATGGGAGTAGAGAAATCAGAGAGAAGACCTTAGTCTATCCAATCAATCAATTTTAATGTGGTTTTGTTTTACATTTTCTATTTTACTATTTAAATCACTGAGCCTCCTATTTAATTAATTAACATTTAAACAATAGCAAAGAGAGTAAAAAGTTTGTTGGAAAGAGTCTTCTCTCTTCTCTCTCTTCTTATCTCCCTCTAAAGACGGCGACTGAAATCTATCCTTCTCCCTCATTTTCTTCTTCACATTAACGCTTTCACCGGAGGATCTATCTATCCGGAAAATTTTCTCCGATAATCAGATCTCCGACGAATCGACTCGCGCCAGTGATTACTTCAGAAGCTCGATCTTACCTTTTTCTGTGCTTTTCACTCTCTCTCTCTCGCGACAGTTTTTGTTTTTTGTTTTGTTTTGTTTGTTCTGCCGTATCCGGCGAGGAGGTGTAGAGATTTAGAAAACGTGGCTTAGACGAAGGAAGAAGAAGACGAAGAAGATGGAAGCAAACGGGATGGAAAACGTGGCGACGACGAATCAGAATCCGAATCCGAATCCAGAGAGAGAGTATATAAGGAGGCACCATAAACACGAGCTTCTGGAGAATCAGTGTAGCTCTACGCTTGTTAAGCACATCAAAGCTCCTGTTCACATCGTAAGCTTATCCATGCGCTCTGTTTTTTTTCTCTCTTCTTAGGCCGTAATGCTTATATATATTGAGTCAATCTGTTCTTTCAAATCCAGAAATTCGAAATCTCTATCTAATTTTTACTCTTTGTTGATCTTTTTATCGAGTTCGAAGAAGACGATTTGGTTTGTGATGGTGCGAAGTGCGTTTCTAGAAGCTTCCATTGACTATCCAATACTCTCTCTGCTTGATTCGGTTTTTTTGGGTCTATGTTATATACTAATTCGATGATCTCCAAACTGATGATTGTGATGGTTTTCTCAATCAAATGTCGATAAAATTCATGAGAAATCTAACTTCGAAGAGGAAGATTTGAATCTTGATTTAGAAACTCTCATGAGATTTAAGTTTGATGATTTTTTTTTGTATAGGTGTGGTCTCTTGTGAGAAGATTCGATCAGCCACAGAAGTACAAACCATTTATAAGTAGATGTGTAGTGAAAGGAAACATGGAGATTGGTACAGTACGAGAAGTTGATGTGAAATCTGGATTACCAGCAACTAGAAGCACTGAGAGATTGGAGTTGCTTGATGATAATGAGCATATTCTCAGCATCAGAATCGTTGGTGGCGATCACAGACTCAAGGTGGTAAACTATAAACCAACACATTGATTGAAATGGATCAAATACACAAACCAATTTACTAATTAAAGTCTCTGTTTTTTTTTTTTTTTTTGAGTAGAACTATTCTTCAATCATCTCTCTTCACCCTGAGACCATAGAAGGAGGAAGAGTAGGGACACTTGTGATCGAGTCTTTTGTGGTTGATGTACCAGATGGGAACACAAAGGATGAGACTTGTTACTTTGTGGAGGCTCTAATCAAATGCAATCTTAAATCGTTAGCTGATATCTCTGAGCGTCTTGCGGTTCAAGACAGAACAGAGTCCATGAACAGAGTCTAAGAGAGAGATCGAAGAGAAGCTATTGAAATGTGGAGCCAAGAGAGAGAGATTTGTTGCCATGGATGAAAGCTTTCAAAGGGAAAAGAGAGTCTCTTTGGGGATGGACAAGGCAAATAATAATCTATCATTTTACCGTTACATAACAAGTTTCTTTATTTTTACTTTTTTTGGGGTCTTTCCACTTCTTTTTGTTAATTTGATGAATGTTGTTTTGGTTTCTTCTCTATAGAACCAAAATAGGATTTTGGAGTTTGGCTTTTGCCACTTGCAGGAATCTTACAATTTGCAGAGAGACATGATAAAAGTATGATCATGGGGTTCCACTCTTTCTTCCCTCTTTTTTCTTTTTTTTTCCTTTCTTTTAAACACTTTTTAGTTGCATCCTCCATAAAGGCCACACACAGTTTTTTTCCCTATTTTATTTTCTATTTTTGTTTTATGATAACTTTTTATTCAACCAATAGCATTTGTGGGATGTGAAAAACTCCATTAAGGGAAGGGATCTTTATTGTATAGTTTATAGATTTTGTCTTGACTTGTGATTGAGGAAAACACACATTAGCTCCATTAGCTGTAAAAAGGGTACAGCTTTGTTTTAGTACTATTTTACAAATGTGAAATTGTTTTTCTTTTTTCTTTAAAGGATGATTTTTTGTAATTACAATAGTAGATGAGTTTATTATACGTTTGTCCATTTTAAATGATGAAACCTAAATATTCGAATCTCTCACATGGACGGACAGGTAGCTCTATTTAGACAGTGCTTCCATTCTCAATATCATTTACAAAAAACAACATCATTCTCAATTTTGCTTAAAACATAAAGATTTATTGACCTTAAAAAAAAAAAATCACATGAGAGAATAAAGACTATTGTTACATTCCTTTAAATGATCTTTTACATTTTTTTTTCTTCATAAAATTGAACAAAATGTCAAATGGGGGAAAAAGTTCCAGGTCGAAGTGAAACTAATGAGGTAATGAAATAAAAACTACATTAATTTATAACATTGAGATTCAAGAATTTCACCTGCTTTTTTTGTTTTGTTTTTTTTTTTCCTGTTTGTTGTAGAAAGCTATGGGAGATTTACTCTGTACAAGAAGCTTTGAACCTCCCTTTTTCACCTAGAAAGAGGCGTTTATGGTAATGAATGATGCGATTAGGCCAATACCAAGTCTCCTTCTTCTTGTTGTTGCTCCTGTAACTTCTCTCCTTCTTGTTTCGGAAGGAGAATACGCTTTATGTCATCTGCGGTTAGCGTTTCATACTCTAGAAGTGCGTTTGCTAACGTGTGTAGCTGCTTCTCATGCTGGGGAACACACAAATAAAACATTGAGAAAAGATTTTTTATTAAACAGTTTTGAAAAGAGTTTTTAAAAAATGCAAACTTGGCACAAACAAACCCGTTTCAAGAGAGACTTGACTCGCTCATATGCCTCTCGGAGAAGTTTCACCACCTGCACAAAAAGTATTAACACCAGATAAATGATCAGACTTGGAAGCAATGGGATTTGAACGAGGAACTAGAAGAAAATTGAATAAAGAGTGTCCCTACCTCTGCATCGATACGTGATTGCATTTCAGAGCTTGGTCTTTCTTTTATATGAACTGGTCCTATTGCCTCACTCATTCCACAACTCGATACCTTCCATAGTATAACCAAAAGCATTATTACAACTACAACGAGGAAAGATCCGTTACCAAAAATCTTCAGTGGATTATAACAGGAGATTACCATATATTGTGCAAGTTCTGTGGCCTGCGACAGATCGCTACTAGCTCCAGTGGTGATATGGTCTTGGCCAAAGATGAGCTCCTCTGCGACTCTTCCTCCCATACATACATCAAGACGAGCTAACAACTGTTTCTTGCTCACTGATGTTTCATCGTTTGAAGGTAACTGCGTAACCATTCCCAACGCAGATCCACGTGGCATTATAGTCGCTTTGTGGATCGGGTGCGCACCTCCCGTGTTCAAAGCGACAATAGCATGACCACTCTCATGGTATGCAGTGAGCTAAAGAGGCAGAAGAAGCAAGTGAGAGGTCACATCATGTTTGAAATCCACATCCACACATTTATATACTCGCGTATTAGATATTTACCTTTTTGGAGTCCTCTGATACGAACATCGTCTTCCTCTCTGTGCCCATAACTATTCGGTCTTTTGCGAATTCCAACTGTTTCGAAGATAGCTTCTCAGCCCCGTCAACAGCTGCCTTTATGGCAGCAATATTTACAAGGTTTGCAAGATCTGGAATAGGGAAAATGTGGTGAGTCATTGAATCCTCATAGCTCAATGACAAAAGAAGACGCTTTGACTGAATTTAAGGACGAGTAAAAACTGTAGTTATAGATAAAAGATACTCACCAGCACCATTGAATCCAGGAGTTCCACGAGCAATTGCTTTAACATCAACATCATCTGACATAGGTTTGCCTTGGAGGTAGAGTTCTAAAATCTCTTGGCGTCCACGGACATCCGGACTGGGGACGACAATCTGAAATTAAATCTGTCAGTAATTTCTCTTCCTTTGGTTAAATCCGAAACAATTTTCATAACATAGAATCACACCAAAATGGAAACAAATTGAACACCGAATGTGCAAATTTCAATACGAAATCCTCGAACAGTTAGTCCCAAACAGGGGGTTTCTCAAGACAAGAAAAAAATGGTCTCACTTCTTTACTTTCCAATAAGTAGCATGAAGAGTCATAATACAAATACAATGGTATCACTTTTTCATCTTAAGTACTTATACAACTAAAGAGAAGAGTCGTAAGAAGCTGCGGAAACTTACATGCCTATCGAATCTACCCGGTCTTGTCAGGGCTGGATCAAGTATATCAGCCAAGTTTGTTGCAGCCATAACTATTATTCCCTGTATAGCAAAATACAAAAAGAAGCAAAGTACTATCATGTTGCAGAAAATTAGGGGAAGTCATCACAAGGCACACTATCCCTCATCAAAAAAGTACCTCATTCTGCTCAAAACCGTCCATTTCAACAAGTAGTTGATGCAATGTCTTCTTTGTATGCCCTTCCCATTGTTTTCTAGTGGACCCAACAGCATCAATTTCATCAATGAAAATGATACAGGGCGCCTGTAAGTAACACATGATCGTCAGCAAATAGACCTTCACTCATGGTAAGAGGCTTTATTTATATCCTAACAAACAAAACTCTTTTGAAAAATTTAACAAGTTGAGTCAGACCTTTTTCTTAGCTGCCTGAAACAAGGATCTCACTCGCCGAGCTCCTACTCCAACAAACCTGTCAATCAACGAAAATATGATATCATACGTCAGCCGCCTGATAGTAGAGGCATATGCCAGAGAAAGACAACTAGTAGAAGGCTCACATCTCTTCAAATTCAGATCCAGCTCTATAAAAGAAGGGTACTCCAGCTTCTCCAGCTATTGCCTTAGAAATTTAAACTGTGTCAGCTAGTCGCATTTAATCAAAGTATTGGTAGCTTTATAAGAGTTTGATGAAACAATGGGATGTGACTGAAAGTCACACAACAAATGATATAATTAACTCATTGATAACTACCCCATTCAACAAGATACGAAAATGTAACGCTATGGGAGAACATACTTTAGCCAGTAATGTCTTCCCAGTACCAGGTGCCCCTGTTAGAAGAATTCCCTGGAAGCAAACATTTTAGAAACGTCTCAAGTCAGAATGCTTATAAGTCAAATAGATCATAAACTCAAGTAGACAAGACAAAACCAAGTGCCAAGTAACATGCAACCAAGAATATATGATAACGATGTATAAAGAGCTTAGTACCTTTGGCAACTTTCCTCCAAGGCGGGTAAACTTTGATGGATTTTTTAGATATTCTACCACCTCCTCGAGCTCTTGTTTTGCATCATCACAACCCTTTACGTCCTTAAAAGTTTTGACATTCTGCAGCAAGCAAACTTGTCAGGAAAAGACACAATGACGCTGCTCGTAGAAATTCATTGGCTTCAAAGGCAATTATTAAAATGTTCAGTCGGTATATTAGCATTAATACACCGAGGGTCCCATGATTCATAAAGACGGCAATTATCTCAGGTAATTAGGATCCTTCCATGCAACTATACGTTTGGCCACTGTAACTAAAGCTACAAATTTCCTCGCAGCTCTACTTCAACTACTTTAGACTCCTTGTAAACAGTGAAGAACATTGTTCTCAACATTAGTCAAAACTCTACCTTTTCTGGCGTTATTTCTTTGTTCATCTCTTTTGGTGAATATGAAGAACTTGAACCAACACCCGAAGTTCCAATTCCTCCCAGGCTTCCAATATACTTTTGCAGAGCAGCTGCACCCATTAACCTAAACATGGAACGTCCATTATAACAGGAACAACAGTACTATAATGGAGATGCAAGCATAAGTTCAACTTTGCATAAGAAGCAACATTACTGCCAGTGCTATCTAAGTTCATATATCATAAACTTAAATCTCAAGAAGAAGATGATGCATACCACACTAATCCCACCGCAACTGTGAACAAGATCGTAGAGACAAGCTCTTGCGCAAATCTTGATTTGTTTGAAGCTTTAGGATTAACCTAACAAAGCAAAGACACATATTAAGAACTTAAGATACATGGAACCATCAAGAACATATGAAAGTCCACACTTTGTATACCTCACCAGATGGGCTATACAAGAGAAACTTACCATGGTAACATGCAACGGCTGCCTCTCAGATATACCAGGGTTCACAAATGATTCGTCCATATTGCCTGATGCACGATGCTTTAGCTCTTGAAGCTGCACATAAACCATTGACTATTAAGCATACAACATAACACTAATCTAGAAACAAAGACAAGTAGGAAAATGCAAACTTTGAGTTCTACAAGTAGTCATGGTGCAAACAGAAACAATAAGAATACCAGTGTGGGAAGACTAGATGGCTTCCCGGTTTGTTCGTCAGGAAGATACTCCGCAATAGCATTCGTAACGACGAGAGCTCGAATATATTCAGCGACTCCTCTGCTGTCCACTGCGTGTTCCCTTTGCTCGAACCGTTGAACAACAGCCTCAGGGCTGAAGCAAATCATACCACATAGAATCGATTAAAAGGCTATTGAATTGTAAAGTCTAAATTACGCAAACCAAACCAATCAGAGCTTTGATGAAACTGCTTGCATACATGTGCTTATTGAGCTCAGCCAATAAAGCTCCCTGCAAAGCCGCGTCCTTTGGATTGGCGTCAGCCTCGGCGATGAGTTTCTCGAGACGCTTCTCCTGCCGGGAGAAAGGCCACCAGCTTAGCCACTCCCATTCCGTTACCTTCTCCATAGCTCTCTTTATAGCTGCCCACAGCCCCATCAGCAACACCACAATCGGAAACTTGCTCTTCTTCTTATCTCCCTCCGTCACTCTATTAGTGCTAACCTCCGCTTCTTCTCCTCCACCACTTTTCGTTTCAGCCGCAAGGCTGGCTTCACTCGTCCCTTCGCCACCAAAGATTCTATCGCTCGTCTCTAATTCCGTAACCTCCGTATCCAAAACCAATCTACTATCTGCTGAATCCGTAACCTCCCCGTCGATATCTCCGCTCCGGGACTCCTTGGGAAGCAAATCGGAATCGGAAGCAACATTGTCTTGGCGCAATGAGCAAGGAAGGGGATGAAATCGAGAGCTGAGAAGAGTCGAAGAAAGACGGTAGAAACCGGAGAGGGATTGAGGATTGAAACATGGAGAAGGAGAAGGAGAAGGAGAAGGAGAAGGAGAAGAGAAGAGAGGACGATGAGGCTTAAAGGAAGAAGAATGGAGAGGAGGACGAAGGAGAAGAGAAGCTTGAAGAGTGGAAGAAGACATTGGAGTTAGTTAGGGTTTTTGAATATCCTTTATCTTCTTCTTCCTCCTCCTTCCCTTACTCCTTTTTATTCAGGGACAACGAGAAAGAGTTTACTTGGTGACTTGCGAGCCACAAGATCCTTTTTATCTTTCTTTCTTCTCTTCTGCTCTTTTGTTTCTATAATTTTTTTTTTTTTTTTTTACCATTATGCAAAATTGATTAGTTAAAAAAGAAACCTTATCCAGATTCCCCCAAATTTTATCAAACGTTGGCCAATAATCAGACGATTAGACAGGTCTGATAATGAAAATGATATAGTGAGAGTGAGAGAGACAGAGAAAGAGAAAGAGATTTAAGTTGTTCTAATACATATTTCAGAGACAAATGATGATAATACCGAACGGTTTTATAAAGGTGATGATCTTTTGGACACAAGTACAAGTGTTTCTCCATAAAGTAAAGAAAAAAAAAACAGAGCTTAGGAGAAATAATTAGAAAAACTTCGTCTTGGACTTAAAGGGGGACTCGTATCTCTAGTGCATTGGACCAGGACCACCATAATGTGGAGGCATATGACCACCAGGACCTTGATGCATTGACCCAGAAGACGGTGGTGCCATGTAGGGGTTGTGACCTTGCCCTCCTCCTGACTGGGCCCATCCACCTTGTGGCTGCTGCTGCTGTTGGTGGTGGTGGTGGCTCGCACCTGCTGCGTGGTATTGCTGTGAATTGCCGGCGTAAGGATTCTGACCGGGCTGTTGAGCCATTGGAACAGCCGGGTTAGGCATTGTGTAGTCTCTGCTTCTATCATTGTTCGCCTGCAAACCCCAAAAATCCTTTTACTTTGGTGTTGCAAAAAAGGTAAGTTTTTAAAAAAGAGAGAATACTAATTAACTTAACTACTGTACCTTAATGGTGAGGTCGGCGTGGCGTGAGTAAGTGATGTGTAGCTTACAAAATCCACCATCATAAATACAATGTCCTTCCAAAGCTCCCTTCGCCACCACAGCCGTTTGAACATCTGAGATATAAACCCGCAAGGTCGTTTTTGAGTATTTGCTTGCTCCTACACAGATCGAATGACAATGAAACAGAGAATACTCAGATTTTACCTGGGTATTGAATCAAAGCCTGTAGCCCACCATTCTTGTCAAACATTGCAATCTTCTGAACAGCACCAAAAGCCGCAAAAACCTACTCGGTAAAATAAAAAAAAGAGGGGCAAGAGAGAATTAATATTTTCAGTAACACATATTAGATTCAATGAGGATAATCAACATGGAACAGAATAATTACCATGTGTAAAACATCCAAGGTTACTGCATACTGCATGTTCTCGATGGATGCTAGAAGAACATTACTTTCAGGCTCCATCTTCTTCCCGTCTATACCCACAGCCACCTAATATAAGAACCACATATTAGCTGTAGAACAATAAACGGCACTCTCATTCAACTAAGTATCAAGCCGATTTTAAATCATGGATGCATTTTCAAGTAAGAGGCTGCTCCCAGATTACCTGACCAGTACTATCAATGGCTGATGGAGCAACAGGAAGGAATGCATTAGTATAGTCCCTGCATGTTAAACAGGAAACAATTAAGTATTATGATCACAGAATCATCGCAATCACCAAGTCGAACAAAAAAATGTGATTACACATACCTGCTCCGATGGCTCTGAAATTTGACAGTCAAATCTGTATGAGCAGAATATGTGATTTTCAGAGAGCATTGGTCCACTTCCTCAGGGAGTAGATACCTGATGCCGAGAAAGAGACGTTAGTGATAAGTATGCCTTCGATATAACAAATATATATATATATAACTTATAGCGCACAGCTTGTATGAATTGTAATATAATAAACACACGATGACCCGATATTGCCCAAAATCCCATATGAAAAAACTATCCTCTTTCTAAGTATCTAGAGATGCCTAATAGTATTTTCCCAGGTTTGTGCATGCAAGGACTAGTAACAAATTTGGTTCTCCTACATCTATCATCACCATGCATGACTTATGAAATTATGATGACATCAAAATGACAGAAAATCCTATGGGCGCTTGGAAGGCTAACAAATGTCAGACCTTACACGCAATATCTAAAACTATACAGCCCTTCCCAGTTAGACTAAATACCGTGTCAAAAAATTCTAATACAACTTTCACCTAGGGATGCTTCTTCCATCGAGGGCAGTTTTAGCTGCGGTCGCAGTTTCTGCGTCAGAATATTGAACCAGTGCCTAAGAGCAATTCAGACAATACACAATATGAGTACTACAACTAGAAAACATCAAAATACAAAGCAACTGAAGGCAAGGTTAATATACCTGATATCCAGCTGTCTTCTCGAAAGTGGTAATCTTGTGGACAAAACCAAAGGCTGAGAATACCTGCATTGCAAACAAGCAATTAGAACAACAGCAACAACAAAAATAGTAAGGGCCGACTTTAAAGACTCCGTCAGAAACATTCCAAGACAAGTTTAGTTTGGGCTAACACTTCGCACAGCATCACAAAAGTTAGGATAGCAAATTCAACCAACAAAAGTATGACGTCATAGGTTTTGCCGGGTTACAAAATCTGGAAGGCAAATGATATGTGTCTTTCAACGAATCAATCAATCACATTAGAAACAACATACTTCTCAATAAGTCAGCAGACTGATGAAACTCTAAATAGAATTCATAACAGCCACATACACTTTAATACAGTTCTATATCTTAGTGATGCACAGCCTATCATATCAAACAAAAATAATAACTGCTCCTATGTAAGACCAAATCCTACAAATCCTAGAGTATCTGATTAAAGGGAAGTGTGAGGGAGAAAGAGTAGGGAAGAGAGAGGCAGTGTCAGGGAAAGGAGAAAGGAAACAAACACACATGTGCTCTTTCTCCTAATGCATTAGGCTGCCACTGAAGATATTGCCTTGACATGGCCCTGCTGATCCATTTACATTCATGTCAAACGAAAGTTTCCAAAAGCACGACATCCTACAACCTAATGTATCAGAATCTCTACAAAACATCTTACAGCAATATGTTTTTTACTTCTTCTAACCGAAACCGAAAAAGGTGCCTGATCCACTTACCAGATGCAAGACGTCGATGCTGACCATGCGAGCATCTTCTCCTTCGACTGTCACCAGAAGAACATTTCCCACAACATCTGCTGTCGTTTTGTTGTTCACTATCTCTTGCCTGTTGGAGTACTGGAGGTAGACAGTTTTACCTCGAACTTGAGCAGGCTCCGACGAAGAAGCGTAGTAAGAAATCATTTGAATAGCTTGGTTCAAGTCTTCCTGGAAAGAAGAAACAAATTCAATAAATATCAAAACTTGGTACGCAATGATAAAATCTTGTTGTCATCTTCTTAAAACTAATCTCTCTCACTTACAAACTCAATGAAAGCTTGATTTCGATTGGCTCCAACATTGCACTTTGTATTTACAACTGTACCAAAGGGCTTCCCGAGTTCGATTAACTCATCCTCTGTGCATTCCCAAGGCAAGTTTCTCAAATGAAGAACCTTAGAAGGAGGCTGCGTGTAACGAAACTGTGGCTGGCTTGAAACGGAAGACATTGTTGTAGCGATCTGAGAGCTGTCAAATAGCAGAAAGAACCACAAAATAAGATTATTAATGGAGAAAACTACACTACTCGATGCAATTAGCACAAGGTATGTAGTACGAATCACGAGCTCTTTCGATCTCAACAAATTCATCAAAACAAAAAATCAAACAAATTGACAGCCATGAAGAATCAATATCGAGTCGAAGAAATCAAATAAGTTTACGGGTACGATTTAACCAGCGAAGTACACAATCATACAATTACTATGAGAAAAACTCCGAAATGAGAAAAAGTAAGAAGGAGAATCAGGAGACATCGTATTACCTGAAGAAATCCGCTCAGGAAATCTCTCTGATTGCGGGAATCTGCAGAGAAATTAGGGTTTCTCGTTGGGGAAGATATGTTTGAGAAGAAGGATAGGGATTGGGAGGAAAAGGGGAATCTGAAACTGCTATTTGTCTCGCGGTATCTTTAAACGCCGTTTGTTTTAAGAGCGTCTTCGTTGTTGGGCTAGAGAATAAAAGCTGCACATATATGGGCCTTGTGCTTTCACTGGCCCATTCATATAATAGAAACGGAATACGAAATTTAAAAATGCATAAAATTTGGAGACTAGACCACTAATTATTAGAAGTTTGCGTTCTAGCTATGTTATTGATGTTTTTTTTTTCTTTTGTTAAAATGTTATTAATGTTGTGTTGTGTGAATTAACAAAAGTTCCACGTTATTATTATTGATTGATAAAAAAAAACATCAAAATTTTACACAAAAAGTAGATTTTTTTTTAGTTTGACAAAAAAGAAAAAAGTGGGATTGTACGCTTGAGTCTGAAGTTAAGGTAGTGTTAATTTGGCAAGATTTTCGATAAATTATTATTTTGAATTTTCTAATGAGATAGGTGGATTGGCACAAAATAAAAGTTTGGTTGTTTGGCATTTTCCCATTAAAATAGTTTTTAACACATGCATAGTTTTTTGTTTTTCCAATGAAAATTAAAAGATAAAATGTATTGATTCTTTGAAAAAAAAAACATTGCATGCCCTCGTATCAAATATGTTCTCATCATGGTTGTCTTTAGCCACCAACAGCTAAAGTGGCTCCAACCGCAATAGCAAGAATCTTCTCCATCATCAATGTCATCGACATAACAGTCTTTGAAGCCTTATCCATATTTTTCCCGACCAAATTCTTCACGATCGTCGTGCTGTCCGTACAAACCATGACATCATAGTTTGATGTGTCTGGAGATTCCTTGAGTTCCATGGAAGCACTCTTGAGAGAGTATACAATAGTCGTAAAGGCATCTTTACACCCCGCAAATTGCTTCTTCAAGTTTGGATTTTCCTTCGCCGCCTTCGCGACATAAACCGCCGACTTCCCGGCATAGGACATGCCCAGGCTAAGCGCAGCCTTGGCCGCTTGGAACTACAAATTAAAAAAAAAAACAAAAAATTGTATATATATATGTCTATCATTGAGAATGAGTCATGAACTTAATTTCATTTACAAAAAATGGTGATTTTGGTGTCATAACTTTGGAACTTTAATTGGTGATTTAAAAGAGAGAAATGAACATGAGATTTTAGGATTTTCAATAAACATTTTTTATATAAAGACTCTAGAATCATCATACTATGAAATAATAACTGTGGAACTTTAATTGATGATTTACGAATGATATATGAACGTGAATTTTTAGGATTTGCAATACGTTTTTTTTATATAAAGACTCCATATTCAAACTGAAACAGTAACTTTGAAAATTAATTGATGATTTTAGAAATAAATGTAATAAAATAAAAAAGGAATAAATGCAATTAATCAAATCACTAAAACTGTTAAAGTACCCTGGTGGAGGCAGAGGCGGCCGGAGGATAAGCGGTCAAGGTTTTGACGCAGAAGGCTTTGTCGGTGACACGTTGGCATATGGCATCAATGGATTTTGTTGAAGCAGAGACAAAAAGAAATTGTAACAAAACTGCTAGAGAAAGGACGACAAAGCAAGAAGAAGAAGAAGAAGAAGAAGAAACCATCATGTCGTTAGAATCAGATGTTGTTATTGTATCAATCGTTAATTATGATGGTAGTTATATATTACTTTGCTTGAATATTAGGCACCCCTTACTCCCTTAGTCATCTGCATTAAAATTGGTCAATGTATTATAATTTAGTTTCCATTTACTCTCTTTAAAATATTCTGTGTATAAAAACTAGAAAGTTTAGATAAATGTGTCAATCTTCATCCTCTTTTTTGGGCGAGAAATTGGTGTCTAACCATAAAAAGACCTAATATTTGGTCAATGACACTGGACTTTCCTAAAATTGAGATGGAAATGAATCAATAGGTATATAAATACACTGATCCGAAGTTAATGGTGTACTGGCAGTGCAAATGATCCCAAATTATTTTCTGTTACTTGCTTGAATATTGAATACCCCCATAATTATAATTTAGTTTCCATTTACTCTCTTTAACAAATTCTGTTATGGAAACTAAAAGGTTTAGTTAAATGTGGCCAATCTTCATCCTCTTTTTTGGGTGAGAAATTGGTTTTTTTGTGTGTGTGTGTGCAATATACTCGATAATTCTGCATCTTATCAAATCATAGATCACAGGGTCAAAAAATAGAGAGATGCAACATCAAGTAACGAAATCCCAACCCATTGAGAAGTCCACGTAAGATATCTGGATTCACAAGGAGCTTTTAAGGGAAACACATATCCAAGAAATAAAATCGATGAGGTTATAAACTAACTAACATGCATTATTGAAATTCTTCACATTAGCATCACCGTGGTCATCATCAACGTCAGCTACAAGCTCAAGTGTACTCTTGTTCTTCTCATCATCGTGTTTGCTCATCACCATTGTTGTTGTAATTGGTGCTTCCTTGTTATTTTTGTACTTAAAGTATAGGATAAGTTGTAGAATCCCCAATGGAGTCCCCACCATATTAGGTGACTATATACATGCATACAAAACATTCGATACAATTTATTGCATTATATATATAATCTACAAGAAGTCTTTTTGAGACAGTTTAACTATGTAAAATTAAGAAAATAAACTAAAGAAAGGGAGTTGATTAGGAAAACGAACCGCAAGAAAGAGATCATGGCTGAGTAAACCATAGGCCATCCAAAGGGAGCTAGCCAGAAATGAGAAGAATGACAAGTAAAACGGCATGTATTCCACACTTTTTGTCTCTATCACCTTTTTCTGCATATTCACATTAGCTTGATGTTTAAGTACCAATTCTTGTATAATAATAACATCTCTAATTAGTAATTTAGCTTGATTCCGGTTGGAAAAACAAAATCTTACTTATGAAAAAAAAAAAAAAAGGTAATGGACTTGTGGAGATCTTTTTTTTATTGTTTAGTTTCTTGTGGTAGAAAAATGGTAAATTTGTCTTGTGATCATATATATGCAACGATGCATGTACATATATAGCTTACCATAACGATGAGAGGAGAACCATACATGGAGACAGAAGCCACGAGGCCAACACTTCCGACGAATGATTTCCGGTGGCGGTGGTCGTCAAACACGACGGCGGAGATTGCCGTTGTTAAGCCGAACACAACGATCACCGGAACAAATATAACACCAACCTTAATCTAATTCATATGTTCATATAAGATCCATGTCAATATTTTTATTTTACCAAATAAAACAAGATATCACTATAATTCTAGTAACTTTACGTACCTTTTCTTTGGTCGACGCGTAGCAGAAATATATGAAGATAAAGATTGATTCGAGAAGGATGCCGACTCCATTAATGGTGACGAGAGGTAAATTTTCCCAAAGATGACTCACAATTGGTAAACCGTACCAAGTATAGATCAAACAGTTGAATAGTGTCATAACGTAAGGAAAACATGAGAATTCCTCTGTGCTTTTCTTCTTAAACACCCTTGAAAATGTTAATCTACATACCAGTTAAGGTGGCAAAAAGTTATAATTAACTTTCTTGGTAAATTCATATTAAATTGGATACTTGATTTTTTAAAGTTCTTCTTTACGTACATTGGAGCTGTATAGAGCAACAAGGAAGCTCCATTTCCTGTGGAGAGTCCATTAATAAGCTTTAAGAAAAAATCTTAAACGATCTCGTTTCTTGTAATATTATGTTGCAAACAACAACAAAAAATAGTTTCTGACAATGTTAGACGACAGAAAAGTAGCATTAAAGAATTATTGAAATCCAAAACCGAGCAGGAAAATATAATATTACACACAGAAAACTTAAAGAACAGTTACCCAAAATTCCAACGAATAATCGAAGTTTATCACCACCCATTTTGATTGGCCGGAAGAAGGAAGATTAGAGAATAGTTGGGAAGTAGGAGAGTTACGCCTATAATGTGTGTGTATATATAATAACATGTCTTTGGTGTTCATTACAATATAATAATCACAAGTTTGGGACATTCTAAATTTGATCACAAGTTTAGGACATTTGATCATATTAACATTTTTATTCCAAAAGTAATACTGGTGTGATTTAAAATATTCGCCATAAGGACATGGTTAAACGTTGAGAGCTCGAATCAGTAAAATCTATTGAAAACTTAAACACAATAAATTTTATGAAAAATATAGAATAGTACGAAATCGTCGTTACACGGATGAAGTTTCATAGACTAAAAAGACGTGTGTGCATGGGGGATTAAATGGTTGTTCATATATACAATGTCTTTTTTTTTGTTAAATCATATATAAATACAATGTCTTCCACACATATTATAAAAGACATTTGTATACGCATGATATTAGATTATATATCACACAAATTATGTGATTCAACAACCTATAAGCAACCATCCCATCATAAATTACAAACGCATATTCAAAGTATATCTTCTAAAAGAAAATTTATTGGATTATAACTTATATATACATAGATATATATTCATTATAAAATTTATCGAAAATGTATTTCGTTTAACAGATTGTGAAGGCTCACGGGGTATATTATTAACGTCTACAAGGGACGGTAAGGATAAGACAGGCAAATTCGTACACATTAACCTTGATTATTTTATTTGTGTTAAAGTGCTTATGGAAAGAATAATAGAAAAATGATAATAATAGATATAGATAGAAAGGAAATTCCATTCAAAAAGTGAAAACAGCTTTTTAGTAAATTAGCTAGCTACGTGGTCGATTAGCAACACGTGGGATGTGCAACAAGTGTCCTCTATCACTATTTTAAAATTATATACAAAATACCAATTAATTTTATATAAGTTGTTTATAATATTATACTGTAATATTGACAAAATAGTTTTTTTATTTATTTTATAAAATAAAGGGTAATTTAATTATAATGTAAATTAGTTTTAAAATTTAAATAAATATACACAATTTAGATATAAATAGGAAGCCACTCTTTATATTTTGATTAAATTATTAAATATCTAGTGCGTTATGGTAGTAAAAAAAAAATCTACTAATTTCTTTGTTTTATAATATTAGTTTTTTTATAAGTTTTATTTTGTTTCACAATATAATTGTTTTTATTTTTTATTACTTTTTATGAATACTATGTGACCGATTATATTTTTCAGTTTTTCATAATTAGTTGAATTATGTATAATTTATATATTAAATGATTATCTTTTTTTTAAAGAAAATTTGTTTTTTAATCTTTGTGCTTTGATGCAAAATAACTTATATTTTAAAATAGAGAGTATTAAAATTGTAAAAATAAAATTTGATTATAAGATTTTATAATCGATTCTAATATTTCTTATACGAATGTAAATGCATATTTAGATTAACCCGCAAAAACTATAATTATAAGAATATTAACTTAAAAAAAAAGAAAATTACTATGAAATTGATTTTAAATACTAAATATACATAATGATTATATAAGAATATATTATATTTTATTATTTTTAATAAATTATCTAAAATTGTATATAACCAAGTCTATATTTATATATTCTTAACATTTTGATTCAATAAAAATATTTTTAATGTCAAAAAGTTTAATAAAATTATTATATAATATCCTTACAAATATATTTTAATTTTTAACCAAGTTATTTTGTTGTATAAATTGAAAATTTATGATATTTAACTTTTTAATCAAATAAAATATTTATAATATTATATTCTATTAAAATATTAAACTATTTTTTATAGTTCAACTTTTTATTAATATTTTGTACTTATTATAAAGTTTAAATATTTATATTATTTAAAACCATATAAAACTAAAAATAATTCTAATAATAATAATATCTATTAAATTAAGCTTCTTATTTTTTTTATCATTTATGTATTTTTATATTGATTTATGAATCATCTATCTACACATCCTTATTTTCAATTTTGGTCTTTTAAAACATACTTTTATTTATTAATCATTTGAGTAATTTATTTTTGGTTTATGAAATTTGAATTATAACACTATATATATTTTACTATATGAATGATTTGATGATTTATTTTTCAATAACAATAAGAGATAAAATATAGTATTTAATTAATATGATATATTTTTGGTAAGAAATGAAAAGGAGAATATCTTGATAAATCATCATCAATATAATTGATATAAACTAATGTATAACCAAATTAATGTGAGTGGCATAACATGTAATTAATCTAGTAACATAAGTCTATTTTTATAACTTTGCTGAAAATGATTCTGGTGATGACGCATTAGCAAAATGGCACCACTGTAATATTTTATAAAATTAAGGTTATTTTTTAAAAATGCTTCTCTTTTAATATATAGGATATTATCTAAATTAATATTTTAACTTATAAATTTCCGTTTCAGGCAAATTTCGTTTGAAATCGAAGATCAACAATGCTCTTAGTTTCATTTTGCTTGATTGGATAAACATTGGCTCTTGAATGGACATTTTAATTTTTATCAGTATTAAAGTATTTAAAAAGATAGTCAGCCTGCCCTGAAAATTTCGAGACGGGTATCCGGTTTCCATCCGCACCCGTTTTAAATTTCTTTCCCTGCTCTTTTCCTATTTTAAAAATTTTTATTTGGGATCATTTTATTTTATTCAAACGGGTAAAAAAAAGGGTAAGAGAATCAGATCGGGAATCCGAATTCCCTTTTAAAAAATTAATATTTCAAAAAATTACATAATTTTTCAAATTTTGTTGAATTTTATCGATATTTTTTAAAATTTCCTAAATTTTTTTAAAATATATGTTTTTAAATTGAGAGTTTGGGATTCCCGTTCCTGTCCCATACCTATAGATTTCTGTTCCGTACCCGTAGTTTCTCATTCTATTTTTGTCAGATTCCTTTATGGGAATCATTTCTCAATTTCTAAATTTTCTGTTCCCATCCCGTTCCCGTAAATTCTCTTCCCGAATCTCGAAATTTTCAGGGCTGACTCAGCCATTTCATGTGTATTTATGGGAAAAAGTTTTATAACCAGAGGATTTATATACCAAAATCCAAATAATCCGTCGAGAATGTATTTTCTATGTCAATTTCGTAGTAGCCAAATATATAAATTTGAGTTCCTAAAAAGGTAGCGACCGAATAGAGAAAGACTATAATGAGGTGATATAAAAAAAATATTTCATTTTTATTTCAATATCGTTAGGTGAATCAGGAAACAAAAATGAAATAATATAAAAAAATTACGTACCCGCGCAACTTTTTGTTTTGGATAACTTACATGCATAACCTGCATGCATATATAGTGTATTTTTAAATATGTACATTTTTGTCAACAATAAATAACTAATAAACTCTTTCCAAGTTCTTCATCAATGGAAACCGGTTAGTTTTAAATCAACACAACAATAACCCATAAGTCTCTCCAAGTGATGACATCTAAACTTTTTTAGGCTTTCTTAACATGACAACTCAACAAAAAATTCAACCAATAAGAGTATTTTATTAATACAGCTCATTTAAAAAAAAAACTAACCAAGATTAAAATCTATAAGTAAGCCCACAACTTATCTAAAAAATGTTTTCAATTCATTTAGGTTAAAAAACTATTCTTATCCCATTTTATTGTTTCGATAATACAAGCTATTTGATATCATTAATGTTTAATTTGTTCACTCTCCTCTTCCCATCCATTATTCATACACGCTGTATTAGTGATTAGTACATGAGAACTAGAATATTGATTTTAACCATCTGTTCGGTTAATATTAAAAGATGATGTGCATGAATCCATTCTCTAATCTTGTATGCATATATTACAATATGAGAATTATAAATATATTTTAAAATTCAAAATAATCATAGTAATTAATAATTTTGTTTTAAAATGGTATTTTGCTTTAGATAATTACAAAGGAGGATCAAGTGGTAATTCAGTGGAAAAATTAATTATATTTGCCATTAGCATGAAGATACTTAAAAATGTATTGTTTTATTTTTACATATACATTTATAGTTAGTTAGCTAAACAAATTTGATTTCTGAAAAATAAAAAAAATTAAGGATATACATTGTTTATTCAGATTTAAAATATATGAATACATAACTTAAACAAAAAAAACAAATATAATACTCATCTATAAAATAAATATAATATGATGGGAAAACAAAATATCTCAGTTTTGACAAGAAATGCGGATTCTAGGTTTTGATGGGCAATGTAATTTTTCTGTTTTTGATGGATAATGCAATTTCTTGGTTTTCGCAAGAAAATACAGTTTTACAGTTTTTGCAGAAAAATACAATTTTACGATTTTTGGCAGAAAATTGCAATTTCTTAGTTTGTCAAGAAAACACGATTTATCGGTTCAACGAGAAAACACAATTTCTCGGTTTTGGCGAGAATATGAGATTTCTTGGTTTTGGCGGGAATTGAAGTTTTTTCGGATTTGGCGGAAAACTATGATTTTTAGTTTTGGTAGAAAAACAGCGGAAAAATGCAAGATCTCGGGTATGGTGGGAAAATGTGATTTTCGGTTTTGATGGAAAAATAAAAAAAATTAATTTTGATGGAAAAATAAAATATCTTGGTTTTGACTAGAAAATATGATTTCTCGGTTTCGATAAAAAAATACAACTTTTCAATTTTGACGGAAAAATGTGATTTCTTAGTTTTGATGGGAAATGCAAATTTTCTGTATTTGACGGATAATGGGATTTCTTGGTTTTTGCAGTAAACACAATTTTTTCGCAGGAAAATGTAATTTCTCTGTTTTTGTAAGAAAACATGATTTTTGGTTTGACAAGAAATTGAAATTTCTTAGTTTTGATGAGAATCTGCAATTTCTCGAAAATGATTGTTTTTTGTTTAACAGAAAAATACAATTTTTGTTTTTTTTTCATTTAATAAATCTTTTTTAAAAGTTGAATTTTAAGGAAGGATCAAGCTGCAATTTAGTATAGAAAATAAATTATATTTATCATTAGCATAAATATACTTAAAAATATATTAATGTATTTTTACATATACATTTATAGTTAATTAATTAAACAAATTTGATAGCATATTATAATTTTGAAAAATAATAAAATTAAACATATATAATGTATATTCAGATTTAAAACATATAAATACATAAACTAAGGTAATAAAAAATAAATATAATATTTATTTACATTGTAAAATAGTTTTATTATATTTAATATATATAAATTTTTAAAAAATATCCCGCAGCGTAGTGCAGGTACATACCTAGTAATAATAATGATTAACGAATGCATGCTTTAAAAAAAAAAATAATAATAGTAATGCATGCATTAATGCTGTAATGCATAGAGAATATTAAAAACTAAAATAAGGATCATACAAAGCAAAGTTGGTTAAAAATAAAAACAACAAACAAAGAAAAATAGAGTGATAATGTGTTCGTAATTAAGCAGGTGGCTGTGCCTGTGTTGTTTGAATCGTAGTGGAAATGGCACCAGATTTCCACTCTTCTTTCATGTCCATAAATGCTTATTATATTTTGTTCTCCACACAAAAAAGCACAACTTTTTAAAGTTCATCGACATATAATTTAAAGTTCCAAATATCATAACTAGTTCTTACTAATTAACTATCTGTCTTTGTATACAAAAGTAAACAAATACTGTTCGTTTGACTCAAAAAATACCAAAACAAAGATTATAGATTGGATTATCTAATTACATTTGGCGATGACCATATTACATTCATACTATGGTTTTGGAATTGAAAAGATGTGCATACCTAGCTCAACTCAGGAATTTTTAATCATTAAAAGTACTAAAATAACCTAAAAACAATTTATTACGTGTATAAGAAGAGAATGGTGATTATTACAACTAATTTTCAATATACTGATTTCAAAACCGTTTCAATATTGACTCTGAAAAATTTGCAACCATGAATAAATATTTGGTAGGATTTGTCATAGCTATACGGGTCCGATCAATTAAAGTAGCAACCTATCTCTTTGTTCAGTTTTCTCCACTCTTCATATTATGATTTGTTTTTCTACTCAGCATCACACAAACATCATAAAAATCAATTAGATTTACGACTTACTTTATCTATCCAAAATTTCCGATATTTAAAAAAAAATAGAAATGTGTAATTGTTTAAAGATGAACGAATCAATGCGTGTTTTGGACTAGCATTCCCAATAGGAACTCGTATCTTACCTTTTACATTCTCCTTAGGATGACTCACAGCATCCTCATCCTCTCTATGGATGAATTAGCATATGATCAATAGAAATCTCATCCCCTTTCTCTTTTCTTCAAATTGATGAGACTAATATTTTATAAAAATTGTTACCCAATCGTAGTCGTAGGACCTAGATCGATGATAGTGTGTTTACAGAAGTAGTCATGTGATCGGAATACTTCATGTGATCTGTTTATCTTTAGAATGATAGTATTTTGGTCGAATGAGCATGTTTTGTAAAAATATATTTGATATTTAACCGAATTCTTTTGACGTAGTCGCGTGGACAATGCTGTCTGCACGCTGAAAAAATCTAAAAAATAATAACTATGAGATTCGCCCTAGTTTCTCTCCCAGGCCAGGTAGCCGCCGTCGAGTCAAGATGAGCCCCTTCTGCCGCAGCTCCGCCGATTGCTCCCCCTCTGCTTGAAGTTCTCTGTCTTCCCTTTCTCCGTGATAGGTTTGGTAGCTGTTTCCCCTCTGTCGCGGCTCAGGCCTTCGCCGGATTCACCACCGTCAAGTAAGTTTCCTCTGGCTTTTTTCGAAGTCCTCTTCCCCCGCGCTCCGCTGGAACCATCAGATCCGCCAGATTCTTCCTTAAGCTTCGACTCTCTCTCGATCCTCGTCGTCTCTGCCACCTCGTCTCATTTCTTTCTCGCAAGTCCTCAATCCACCTCTCCATCTCATCACCTGGCTGCGTTACCATCTCTCATCATTCCCCATGTTTGCTCTCATTCCTTATCTTCTGCCTCTCCAAGCTTAGAACAGTAGTATGCAGGATGGGAAACGCCTGATTTGTGGATTTTGAGTTCATGGCTTCTGTTACCGAATGATTCGGTTTCTTTCGCCTTAGTGCGGCCCTTTACTGCAATATGCAGGTTCTGTCCCGATTTCAATTTGATGAAAACTTATCTCAATAGCTTCCTTTCATTGAATCCGGCTTTGGACTTCTATAGTCCTCTTCTCTCCTTTACGAAGGCTTTTTTCTTCCCACATTGTTCACTTGTTTTAAGTGTTTCAGGGAACATTGAGTCAAAGGTTGTTCTGGCTAGAACAAAAGTCATGAGACTATTAATCTCTTGTTCAGTAATTGATATTGCTGATGGTTTCATCTTTTCGACTATGGAGGCTGTATTTTCTCTTCTTGGCGGTGTCATTCAAGACAGCAATATTCACTTTTGTGACGTTGCTTCGATTGAGCTTGTTAGCTCCCTTCTATTCTTGGTTGAGCTTGTTAGCTCCCATTTATTATTTTATCTCTGTTTGAGTTATTATTGTTGTCTTCTCCTTATCTTGTGCTTCACCAATCTACTGCATTTGGCTTTTTGCAGTTTGTTGTATCATCTTTATTTGAAGATAAAATTTTCTTAATTTAATAAAAGACTTGTTTGACCAAAAAAAAAAATAACTATGAGATTCAACCCTTGAGACTAGTACTTCCGAGATGCTGAAATTTTTGTTATCCAGCACGGGGAGCAAATATGTAAGCAAAAAATAATGCCAACAATATTGAAAATTTATAAAGTAAATTAAAAGTGTTGTTTTGTACTATTCACCAATTTACATTAGGAAAAACAACACCAACTTTTTTTCTTCTATTTTGTCTATAGAATCAGCAATTTGCCATAATAAAAAATTTGTAATGGTATATTTAGAAGACAATTTATATTAAATATATAGTATTTGTTAGTAAAAAATAGTTTATGGCTTTCTGTTACTGAAATTAATTTGTAATTTATGTGGGTTAATTTCATATTTTAGTGGAAAAAGTCTTTATATTTTATTTTATCAATTATATAAAGTGGGGTTGGAAGTGGACAAGATTAATATAGAAAAGAGTATGGTTCCCTTGAGAATTCGAGTCTATTTGAAATTTTGGTACTCTGTTGCATGTACCATCATCGAATTGATCGATTCGGTCGCTTCTTGTTAATTATGTACATTATCAAATGAGAGTTTCTATTTTTATTTTTTGGTGCGAGAGATCTCTAAATTTGACTGATGTTGACATTATCAAATAGGAGTTTCTATTTTATTTTTGTAGTTTATTACATTCAATTTTTTCAACTACACGTTTTAGATTTTCGTTTAGTAGACAAGCAAAAGTCGCTTTTTTTATTTTTTTAGTCTAGACTCTAGACAAGCATAGTTGCAGAAGCATAAGTAGGACTTAGAAAAACATAATCTGGTTATTAACTTATGATTATCTAAACCGAAAACTGAGCTTAATAATCAAAACGAATTGTAATTTAAATTCGGTTAAACTTTTAAATGTTTGCCTATAAATATTATGTAATTCTTATCGAACCTAAAATAAAAATGACTTAATCCTACCATTTTTTTAATTTACACACTACTCATCTTTTATAATTTCTGTTAAATTTGCGTTATATATATGATGTAACGAATGTTATACTATAGGAATAGACTTACGGATAATCCAATCAACAATCTGATCCTAGTAGGAGTGGACTGGGTTGTTTAAGATAGATGACTCAATTGACATGGACCAGACACGGAATTTTCGACCTGTAGATGTCTAAGTTTTTTTCAGTTTTTTTTTTTTTTTTATCTTTATGATTTTCTTTGTCAGCACATATCTACGTTATTGTTGAACTGCTAACAACCTTCTTCTTCTTGGGTTAAAAATGGAACTGTTAAACAAGCACTTTCACTACTTGATATAATCTACAATAAATATTACAATTATTTTGGTTAAAAATAATTGTAGTTTAACCAAAAAAATTAACAATATAGTAGTATACAAGACATATGCGAGTTATAATAGAAACATATAAAACAAATTATGGTGATATGACTAATGCTGGTGAGGCCTACCAACTATCAACACAAAATTACCACTCTAATACTCGTGCAGGTCTGTTGTTTGAAGAAACTTCCTTTGTGTTTGTGCTGATTCACTTTACTTAGATTCAGCTCTTCTGTGGACTGCAGAGTCTCTTTAGTTAGAGAAGGTACTGTGCATATTATGATTTATTATGGTCTTGGGTATTTTTTTGTTAAAAATGTTATAACCATACTTATATTAATATATTATGTTTCATTATGAAGCTTGGTCAAAGAATGAGAGAGATTCATTGTTAACGAATGAATTAGTTGAAGTCTTATTTAGAAAGTCAGATGTTTGCCCAAAACGTCTATACTACTCTTCATATATATATATATATTATATAAGTATAATTAAATGTATAATATTATGTAATAGTGTACAACTTTAATAATGAAAAAGGACACACTATTATTACCTGCTTGTTTAATCAGACAGTCGTCTCACTACTTATAGGAAGTTCACAAACAGTTGTCTATAAACTATGCAGTTTACTAATTACTACATTTCTTTTACTTTTTGGCGATTTACCCACATATAAATGCAGAAATCATCTTTATTCGAGTAATATAATATACACCAGAGAAAAACACATTTATTCAATTTTGGATAATTGCAGAAATCTAGTCACAACTCACAAGTATCATTCCATTATTAGTTAGGGTGATATAAAAAAAACTTGTTAGCTATGATTAAGGAATAAGGAGCTGGCAAATTGTGGGATGTTGGGATTCTTAGTCAGTATTAATCTGTTGATGGTTTGAAGGTTCCGAGATTATAATCTAAGTATTGGTATGTACAGCACCGTCTTAAACTATTGAGAGGTTTATCGTTTAACTTATGTGCCATTTGTTTTTTTTTTTTTAACTTATGTGCCATTGTTTTATAAATATATATTTAATGTGTTATTTTCTTAAAGAAACTATAATGGGGTGATTTTAATCTATAGATCCAAATAATGAATAAATAAAGAATATGGAGCAAAACAATTGAAAATTAAATTAGTATATATTATATTTGCATATTATTCCATATTTGCTCCTATAGAAGCAGATGACCGGTGACTTGTTTTATCTCATATAGTTTAAAGAATAACTATTTGATTATCATGCTAATAAATATGACGTCGTGATAACTGTTGAACATCATGCTAACTAATATAATGCTCAATCATCATATTGTATAAATATCAAGTTAACCAGTTATCATATAATAAAAAATGAAATTATCATGTTAACAATGTTATCATATAAAAAAATTATCGTATTAACCTTGTGAGTATGATAACTATTGTGCTAATGTTGTTATCATTTCATGAAAATATACATTAACTTTGTTAACTGTATAAGTTGGTGAAATTATGTTGATAACCATTTAATTAACCGTCATCAGTAATTATTGCTAATGCCATTGTTAGTATCGTCCATCATCTTCTCCATCGTCTTTCACCACAACCATATCTCCTCCACTATCGTTGTCATGTTTTGTAAAGATAAGAAAAGAAAAATTTAAAGGTTATAAGTGTAATTTAAAATTAAATAGTAGTTGTCAGAAAGTTTGCTTTTATGTCGGTTAATTTCTTTATTATCTAAGTCTAGATGTTGCAATTACTCAACTATAATACCCCCCCTCCACCTCCTAAAAAATATAAACATCCACAATAAAAGAGGTCAAATATATGTTCGAGTACACCAATGCGTATTAAGAGAAGATCATAAATATGCACTATATATATTCAACAACAAAAGAGGTCAAATATACTTCGAACTTTAATTACTTTTTTTTTTCCTAACTGGTAGGATGATATATAAGAACAAGAGTTTATACAGATCTACAAGCCAATAAACAAAGAACTCAAACAGAGCCAAATGTAAAAGAGAAAATAAAGTGTCAGATCCAGAAATGGAAACACATTAAACAGAGAATTGAACTCGTTCAGCATCAAATGTTTTCTTTTAACCAAAAGGGTTGTCCATAAACAACATAAGATTGCACCATTTGTAACACTCCGGTTCAGAATAGGACCAATTCCAACCGGAGACGCTACAAAATGCCAAGGTTCACTCTATAGGTCAGCCCGTTTTATAACACATCTAGGTTTAAGGCCGTTTCGGTAAGTTAGCTCGACCCTCCCGATTGAAGCCTAAGGCTTGCCAACTAGGAGTTATGTAGACTCGGACAAAGTCATTTTACCAGCGGAAGACACAAGAGTTTAATAGATAGAAAATCCGCTTTTATTTCAAGAAACATACATATTACAAAGTGTTTATATATATTATAAAGCGGATCCGTCCGAGATTTCAAATATTATACAAAAGCCTTTGTACCAACATACTTACTATATTTTATAAAAGGCACCCAAATCTACTCCGGTGGTCCTAACATCCACATCATCCTCTAACCCCAACAGCTTACTAAGGTTTCCAGCAAGAGAGAAAGGAGGGATTTGTAATCTAAGATTACTCAGTGAGTTCAGGACCCACTAAAAGAAAGAAAACCCTGAGAACCCCCAAGCAACAAGCAATCAAACAATCATGCAATAGCCAAAGCAACATAAAATAAATAGCTGAAGCATGTAATCCTAGATCTATATGCAAGCACTAAACTATATGCAAAGGTGCTACCACTTCCGCACCAAACTGCATTCTCACAACGCACTCACACTACCACACACCACACGTCACACTCGCGTGGACACAGAGATCTCTAAGTGGGTCGGCCAGTTCCCCTCCGCGAACACTCTGCACTTGACTATCACAAAGACAAGCCAAGCAGGGACATCACTACTATGAACACCCTGCATTTGACTATCACAAAGACAAGCCAAGCCGGAACATCGTTTACCCCGGGAGCTCCTCGGTAGGTTCACATCTCGGTGGGGTATCCATCCGAGAGCCGCCAAGTGAGTTCACATCCCAGGCTGGACAACCACGCCTCATTGCTGGTTTCCTACTATCCCGTCATGTAGTACTCGGCCAGGCTAGCACGGCCCGTTACTCCTCCGAGTCTTCCCATATAGCAGTCCATCGCTAAACATGGGGAGCAGAAAACTCCGACCACACCGTCACTAAGTCATGAAGGATACACCACCAATATGACTCTGAAGTATAATGGATTGCACACCATTATACTTCACATAGCGTTGATCCACACTTGATCAAACGCCAACACACCTCCACACAACTTCCGAGAAGTTAGCGCCCTAGAGTGACGGCAAA